TCCGGCGCCCCCCCCCCCCCCCCCCCCCCCCCCCCCCCCCGCCCGCCCCCCCCCCCCCCCCCCCCCCCCCCCCCCCCCCCCCCCCCCCCCCCCCCCCCCCCCCCCCCCCCCCCCCCCCCCCCGCAACCTTAAGGAGCAACAAGTCTATAAGGTAGGTAGTTAGATTTGTATGTGGGCGTTGTACTATAAGATCAGCCTGGGTTGGGTTTAGTCTACGTGGATTACCATGCCTTTATACCAACCGATTTACTATTAACGCCTCCTTATGCCCTCGGCATCATGTTTTAATTAGGAAAACGAGCAATAATTAAGAGAATACTTATCTTTTATAGAATGTTTCAATATTATGATATATATATATCCCCTTAATAAACAGACTCAAAATGAAACAAGGATTTTTATAAAATCAAAATTACACCAGAAATCGGTGTATCGGCTAACCTCCGGCATGTCTTAATTTCTGCCCGTTTTCCCTGTTAAAGTGCAGCGCCGAAGGCATGAGGAGGCGTCACGAATCATTGATAGTAAATATTAGGTTGTCTGGGCATCACGAGGTGGCTGCTACGGTACATATAAGCAGCTTTTGTTTTCAGTAAGTCCCTAGTCTAAGCTGGATCTTTGAAATATCAGGTATTAAGCGAACATGTATTCTTCGAATTCTTTATAAAATGAACATTGCTCACACAATCAGACATGTATAATCACAGCTAGAAGTACATAAGACATCGAACTCACTAAGATATGCTACACCACAAGACCTTGAGAATATGTCATATGAAGTAGCAGAAATCAGTATTTCCTACGTAACGTATCTCGTGGAGCTAGTCGTAGCAGTAAGCCCCCATAGCAAACCCCCAGAGAAAATCTCCCAAAAAGAATCAAGTATAAAAACGAAGGGAGTGAACCCCGTCCAAAACCTGCATTGGGAACCTCGTGATTGGCATCCGGCTCACCCGAGTTCATTTGCTCCATCCAGCCAGCCTTGTACTTGTAGAGTAATCGTCGAGCAAATGAAGAAAACAGTAGTAAGAATGGACAAGAACGTAGTAACGAACAATCAATAAGAAACGGCGCAACAACACGGTACAACCAATCATCAGGGTATCGAGCATGGGAGCCGCGCTCGCAAACCACGTCTGCAGCCACAACTTAACCGTATCGTATCGTACCGTAACATAACGTAACGTAACTTAGCCAGAAAGCCACACCACAAACGCCGAACCGGAGAACTCGTACATCCAACCGTACCGTACCGTACCATACCGTACCAGTCGTTGAAGACGGTCCATCATGAACTATTGAATAACCCCTGCCACCACTCATGAGTCCTATTTACGTAGCCCGTACCGATCGTAGCCCCTGTATCCCATTGCATCGCATTGCGCCGTTCCCTTACCGACCTCGAACGCCAAACAATGCCAATGGAAAATGGGGTTAAGTTACGAACAACGATCATACGGGAAATCTGTTCCGGAAGAGTCCTTTACATCTCCATTCGCGCCGCGATGTCCTCACTGACGCCTCTAACGGAGTGCGCGACCTGCTCATCCTCATCCTCGCTCTCTTCGCTCTCGTCGTAGGAATCACTCTCCTCTTCGTCGGTGGAAGGGTCATTCAACGGGTCAATGTCTATGTCCTCATCGGGATCGTATTGAGCCATCTCATCATCATACTCGTCGTCATCGTCGTCGTAGTCCTCGGCGACTATACGATTGGCCAGCTGATCTCCCAGCCAGAACTTAGCGCGCTTGTTCGCGCCTAAGCTACCCGGCAACGGCGCAGCGTAACGCTTCGACGATAAACCATTGCTGCCACGTCGATGGGGTGGGAGTGCGGGCGAGTTCATGAGTATCGGTAGGCCCCTAACGTAAAGATAAGCGACTCGCTTCTTGTTCTTGTTGAAGAAGAAATAGTGCATGCGCCATATGGCGGCTTCGTCACCGTCGAAAGGATCTTCGATGGGTTGGTACGAGAATACGGTGCAGTCTCTCAGAGTCATCTCTTTATCAATCATGGTCCACATGCCTGGGCTCCAGACGGGATTGCTAATCGCGTCGCTTCCTATCGTTAAGTTCGGCATGGGTGAACTACTATAGGTACGGTATGACGAAGACGCATCGGGTGATAGAAGCGAAGTACCGATAGGGCGCACACTATGCAGCGTATTGTCGATATTAGCCATAACATGTTGTAGATCGCGCTCACGGCGGAAGTCGGTCGGTCGCAAGACATGACTGAAGTCGTAATCAGGGTGGCTCGCGTTCAATGTCGCAATGAGGTAGGCAAAAGTGCGACGGCTCGAAACTTCGCTAAGATTGCCGAAGGGACTTGAACGGGACAGGTTAAGCGATGCAGCCATCTCCTTTCGCTGTGGCGGCGACAGTGATGCGCCAAACTTAATGAGCGCAGCATGTTGAGCCTCTAGGGAGTTCTCAATCGATTTGTAGAGCTTCTTATCGGAGCCGGCGGCTTTCGTGGTGTACAAGTCGCATGATCCCTTAACGCGGCACTCGGCCGTGCTGAAATTCAGCGCGGAGGTGATGACGTCGAAGTCGCGAAGTGGGAGAAACTGCAGTACGCGGAAACGAGGGTCAATAAGAGGACCGCAAGACATTTTGATACGGCCCTCGAGGTGTTCCTCATCATGGAACGTGTTTACTTACCTTCATCTTTGCGTCTATGGTATTTTCGCAGTGGTCTACTGTGCAGGGATATCATAGATTGCGCTGGCGTAATGGTGTAGTATGAGCGGTGTAAGGTGCTGGAGGAGCAAAGCAAAGGAAAGAAACAAATACGAGAAGACTGTAAACAAAGAATAATAATACTTGGAAATGAAGGATTGCAAGGACGACTGGGATCGACTAGGAAACCAATCGGTAGCACCTGGCTTTGGAGGCACGAAGTTAATGATGATGATGGATGGATGTAGTCCTGACGATGTGAACGCGGTGTCCGTGCAGCTCGCTGGGAGCTGATAACGACGGCAATGCACTTGAATCCCTGCTGAATTGATTCAGATAGAATAAACTAGACGATATTGCGTCTAGTAGGCGCAGGGAGAGCAGGACATCATAAAAATAAGAGCCTAACCGATACAGAATATAATTGGTGGCGTTGTCGTCGAATGACGAATTGAAGCTTGGGAAGTTGTAGGAGATAAGTTGCGATCCATAGATCTTGGTTGGAGCATTATGGGATGTGGATGTGCTGGTTGTGATCAGGTGTTATGCGTTTTGGCGGTTCTACGGTTCTGCGTTGTCTGACTATAGCTGCTGACAAGGAACCAAGACCCTGGAAGGTAAGACGTAAGAAGGCGGCGGGCAGCCGGGTGTTTGCCGATTTCCTTGCATTCTCGAATCCGGTCACAGGGGGTTAGGGGGTTAGAGGGAAAGGGGAAAGGGGGAAGGGGGAAGGCTAGAGGGGGTGGCTTGATAAGCTGGATTGATAGGTGTAGGCTTGTAGGCTTGATACGGCGGACGCTTAATGCTAGGCCGGCAAACCTCGCACTACCCCAAAAGCCAAAGACCAAAGATCAAAGGCCGATCAGTAGCCTTAAACGAATAAGATAGCGTTAAGGTGCCACGAGCATCAACGGCGTCTTTTTGAGGAAAAATTACCTTACCTGGGTAGATAGGAACATTCCTCATAGGGTCTCTTCGTCAATGATAGGTGCACGCTAATCAAGTGTCTGGTCAGATCCCATGTGGTCGAATGCCGCTTGTTTGTTTGTGCATCGTTTTCCTTAGCCAACCGATTGCTAAAACATGATGAGATCATATACCGGGAGAGTGTCGATCCTAGGATTTGCCGATTTGATTGACAACAAAGACGTCGAGAATGGCGGTTGAAAGTAGAGGGAACAGCATATAGGCAGTGTCACTTCAAGCCAGAGTCTTACATTCAAACAGTTGAAAGTCGAAACGTGGCTCTTCCAATATTGGCGATTCGACAGCTTCGATCACATAATCCCGGCTTCTTTCAGAGCGCTCTCGATTTCTTCAGTGACCTGTAAAGACAATAGAATATAAGCATACTCCCAAATGCAAAGTGTCTGATTGATAAATTTATCCCGTTGGAACCCGTAGCGCCGTGCCTGTAGAGAACACTATTCTTTAGACTGTTGACCCGTCTCGGGAACAATACATTATCATTTGTTACATGATTTTCGTCACCTCGTCCTCGACCTGAACAGTAGAAATTGCATGTCAGTGGTCTGAGGATCGCCAAAGAAATGTGTTGGATATTCGCGTGGGTTGCCGGCCAAAGTAGTAATAGCAGCCATAATAAAAACCCGGATGGGTTACTCACCTCCATATCCTCGAGAGAATCTTGTTGGTTTATACACCGCAGAACGTTCTTTTTGCTGCTCTCCTGGAGTTCCCCTGCCAGTAATATCTCGTCCAATATGTAATATGCCTTGGTAAATGAGAATATGATGTCGAGCTCGCAGACGTTGCCGTAGTATTTGTCCATCTGTTCAACGTATCGATGAATAATCTCGAGAGTGATCAACTCATTGTCATCGGAGGAACAACCGGCGATGAAAAACAGTGAAGCATAGCGGCGGTAGACAATCTTGGTATCTATATGATATGTTCTGTAAGCGACCTTGCTTCTCGACAGTCTGGTTGGTAATAGGGGGTTAGGCCAACCTTTGTATTCGAGGAAATTGCACATGCGAGTTCGTCTGGCAAGGACAAGTTGAGAAACGTCCTTGACAATCTTCGCCTTGTCTTTAGGAGATAAGGTGGTGAACCACTTGGCCAGGCGCTAAAGAGGTTGTCAGCCACGTTGGCATCTTGGGGGGATAGGACATGTTCAATCGAAAAGGGATGTCCTACCACCTTGCCCTGCCGACTGAGCAGGATCAAGTAGCTGTTGTTTTCATGGTTAGCTGCATTCCGATATCGACCGCGACATTTCTGGGATCTAACTTGATGGCCATCGTGATGCTTATTACATGAGCATAGCAGAACGGCGATGAGGAGATTTGTTGGTTTCAGAAGGTGTTTGTGTGCAAATGACGGTGAATGGTAAATGAAATGGTGAATTGTGATGATGCATGGAGAAGCAATTTCTCAGTGTCCAGTAGTGGGGTTGGGCACGAGCTGCTGAGTTCGAACCTTCCACCGCATTAGAGGACACCGAAGTCTACTTAGGTACGTACCTAGTACTTGTGCTCTCACGCCTTCAAAGTTCTGAACCAGCTGACACAATGACTTGCCGGTCCGTCCCTGGCCGTCCACTTTGATAATCCACCACGGCTGCCCCCACGATTTTAGTCAAACTTTCTAATGCGAGCAAGCCATACATAAAGCGAACGGGTGTTCGCGGATACCCAAACCTGTAATCTTTCTAGCATCTAGAACCTTGGAACCAATGCGAAAATAAAACCGACAGCATATGCTCTGGACAGAAGAGGAATGGCTGTTTTTCATTCTATCTCCAATTAGTCTTGGCGGTAACATTGACTACAACAATCCGATTAATGTCCACTTTGATATGTCTCTAGAACTCATCGAATGTCTTATGTCTTAGGCTTGGATGTTGGGGGCTTGCTAGTGGCATCAGCATGACACGCAACGGATTTGAGGAGTACTCGCCTCGTAACGATACGACCATATCATTCTTCACGTTATATGTCGGCATAGGCATACAGCAAATCCCATCTCATGTTACTAACACATGCCTTCAAAGGCTACGGCATTTACGTTTATATGTCAGACTGTCAGACTTGCCAGTAAAGCTTATATTGGTTAGACGCCGTCTGCCGTGTAACGCAGAGGGTCAAATTGACTTTGACTTTTCCGGGGAAGGCAAGTTCCTATCTCCGTCGCAAACTTACATGTGCAGACCCAGGCCTACTAGGTCTATAAGTATCCTTCTAAAGTTGGCACGATCTCGAACCAAAAGACGGGAAAAAAACCAAGAGACCCCACCTCGGTCTATAAAGCTTCAGATTTTCTACCCCCCTTCATAGAGCATCGGATTAGTAATAGATCTCCCCATCCCGTGTACATTAGCTCTATACATATATCACACCTTCTCCTGTTCACTCTGTAGACTTGGGTTGCTGGTTAGTTCTTCATATAAAACATTCTACTTCTATTCTACTTCTATTCCACCTCTATTCTATCCTCTCATATCCTATCGCCATGACGCGAATAGTCTTATCGACGGGGAACGTCATCCTCAGCGGCCCCTCCATCATCAGAAAGCCAGGCACTTATCGATCCAACTTCGAACTCACAAATTCCTTACGGACCAACTTCATAGCCGCACAGCAAGATTATGCCGTCGCATTACCAAACGGCAATGGTTATGCTTCTCACCCTCAACCAAATGGAAATGGAACCGCACATAGTAGCAGACCGGCACCGGAGGTCTGGACCGCGAGAGAGGACGATATCCTATACGTCCCGCGCATCGACTGGGCATCGGCCGGCCTGCAAGAAGATCGCGCGCAGTACGAGATAACGGTCAAGTTATTCTTCCTACCTACAGCGCCGCCCGGGGCGCGGGGGCGCTACATCGACGAAGCATTGGGACTCGTTACTAAGGAGCTAGGTATAAGCGACGTCGACCTCCTCATAGTCTCCTTCCCCGGCATATCATTTGAAGGGGAATGCGAGTTCGAAGCCGACAGGAAGAATGCGACTATGGGCAACGACGAGGAAGAGATAGCGACGTGGGGTCTGCTAGAAAAATTGCACCTGCAGGGCCAGGTCGGCCGACTCGGGGTCGCCGAGTTCGGCACGGAGAAGCTAAGACGACTCCTTGATAAGGTCAGGGTTCGGCCGGCCGTCGACCAGATCAACATCAAGAATTGTTGCAATGTGCCTCCACCCCTGACAAAATTAGCCAAGAACGAGAACATCGAGTTGCTCACCCATCACGATACTACGGATATCTTACCCAGCGGTACCTTGCGAGAACTCCTTGGCCAAGGTTCGCAAGGCGCGGGCGTCCTAGCGGATGATGGAGTGAATGGTAGTGGCCTCAAGGGCGAAGTTACTCCCGAATGGGTTGTCAAGTATACAGCGTTCGTCAAAGATCGGGGTGTTATCGAGAATAAGGGTTACTTTGCCGGCGCGGAGTTGACGGAAGAAGCATAAACTAGGTGCAAATTCCACGTCTTTTCTATTGCATAGTTTAAGGGAACATAGCATCGTTGGTTTTAGGGATTGCTTGCATTAGATCACGAGGTTACATGGCTATAGCTACACGATTCTAGGGACGACGTAGTTGCCCTAATATAAGCTCAGACATTTTAAGTGCAAGATATTCCTTGTCTTATCATCGTGTCTAATCAAATGACTACGACTGTGACTCTTAGGATAGTCTATCCTATCATGCTCCTCTTCCGCCCACGCATCCTGACTTCTTCTAATTTCTTTATCACCACAGGCGCCTGCTTGAACGTTTCCCTGTAAGAACTCTCCAGCGTGGCAGAGAACAGTTGCTCGGCGCGCGAGTGCGTGCTAGCGAATGCTCTTTCTAGAACGTAGAGATCAACGGCGCGATCCTCGTCGGACGAGCTCTGACTGGCCAGGCCGAAGTCGATGATGATTATATCTCCGTCCAGTAAACCATCATCACTGCTTTTATTTCCATTCACCGGCTGCCTGCCCTTCTCCCACGGCCGCAGCATCATGTTGCTCGTCGTCAAGTCGCCGTGCACGATGCCTACCTTATGCATGCGCCCTACCGCACTCCCTATCCTACGCATAAGCGAGACTAGGTCTTTATCTTCTTCTGCCTCCCCCGTAATCGGTGTCGCATCTTCGTCTTTCTCATCTTCATTTCCATGATTGTTGCCAACCGTAGATTTTTCAGCTTCCTTCCGCCGCCTCAACCACTCGTTTATCCCCACGCGTGCCGGCGCACCCTTCACCCACTCCATCATCATCCACCCGGCAGCCTCGTCTACGGCGTACACAGCCGGGACAGGGACACCCTCGCGACGGCACTTCACCAAGATGCGCGCTTCGGCTAGTATACGGTGGCGCGTCAATCGCGCGTCGAGGACGGGGTGTCGCCATGCTTTGGGCGGGCGGTACTTGAGCGCGGCGGGGATGGAGGGGAGGAGGTAGGTTGTCTTGTAGAGTCGCGCCTCGGCGCCCTGGGTTATGAGGTATGGCGGGGTCGAGGAGGGGTAAGTCAGGATGGCGGGGAGCGGAAATTGCTGCTCGTGTTCGCGCGAGGGTGAGGGCGAGTTGTCTTGGTTAGGTGGCCGAGGCGGTGAGTCTGCTGCCATGGTACCGTACCAGCCGTTTAATATCTGGCCGACCTAATGTTTAATGTCATGCAAGAAATCGATCGCGATCGTATGTTATGGAGAAGATGTTGATTTCTCGGGATCCAAGCTTCTTATTGTGTGGGTTTGTCGGAGAGAATTCTACATATACTACCTATGTATGTATGTATTTTTGTTCAATCAGTTCAATTACGTTATGCTAGCTATCAGAGCGTTACACAACAAGTACACCTACCCCGCGCCTGCGATTGATTTTGCGCCAGCGGCAGCAGCGCAACGAACAAGTCGCAGTCGCAGCCGTAGCCCAACTAAATTTCATTAGTTAGACCTGCATGAATGAAGTATATGAAACTCGAATGAATGGAAGGTTCGGACATCATAAGAAACTTTAATAAGACACCCGGAGCTTTATTTCATTCTTAAAAAAAGCAAATCAAACTTCAACTTCTTTTCTTTACTTTTTCATCTTCAGCTAACACCACTACGTCCACTACCACGTATACCATCGCAGAAATATCTACGAAACACACCGCCTTTGGCCAAACCGCCTAGCTGGGTAAGGTCACTACAATGTATATGTATATGCACACTAGGTATAATATCGACATCCATGTGACTCTGACAACTAGGATAAGCTCTCTGCATCGGCAAGGGGCAAACCCGTTAACGGCGAAGTTATGTATGGATATGTACGTGATATGTATGTACTAAAGCTTCCCAGGAAATCAGAAAGCCATGGATCATTCTACGATGGAGGCGTCATACTATAAAGTAGCATGTTTCTCTCCCGAGAAGAATCAATACAACTGCGCCACCGTTTCTCCCGTCTCTCCCGCGACCTCCGCTATTGGACCCGAAATCAGACCCTAGTTCTCGATTATCGGCTCTATATGCAGGAGGTTCGCAGGTTCGCAGGTTCGAGAATCCGATGGTTTAGCCCCATCAACCCAACAAAATCTCGATAACCTAGGTACACTACTTACTAGGGATTCCTACGCCCACATCCACGCCCGCACGCGCAAACCTCAAAAAAAATCTACACACAAACCAGTCACAAAAGCGCTGCGTGCTAGACGAACTTTGCCATACACCCTCCTAAAGACTGCCTGCAAACTGCAAAACCCTGTCTAATTCGTCCCTAACCTTCAGTTTTACCAATCATGAATTTATAATGAATTTATAACAATTTTTCGCCTCCTCTCATGTCCTCAACCACCCGAGAATATCGTTCGCAGGATGACTGACCCCTCATCTCTCTGGACCATCGTCCTCCCCGTCACCGCTTTTTCTTTCTCCTTAGTCGTCAACGCGCACTTCTTTACTTCTTATACGACCGCGTACTTCTCCGCGCCGCACGAGATCACCGTCTTCATAGACACCGTCGACTTTTCAATCCAGGAGAACGACAGCTACGACAGCGATGTCTCAAAGGTGCAGAGGCTAGAGGACAAGCTCCGGTTAGGCCGGCTGCTGCGAGAGATTCAAAAGATTGGCGACGAATTGCGAGATGATATAAACCAGCTTGTGACGGCTGAGGGCGGGACAACGCTGCGAACCAGCGCCCGCATTCTCTGGGCAAATCACAGGACAAAACTGGAAGAGAAATTACGAAGACTGGACATGTTGCGCATGCGTTTCCTAGTCGTATACGTGGGTATTGTTGCAAATGCTAGTAAAACCGCAGCACCGAAAGATCCCGAGAAAGCTGCCATATATGAAGCCCCCAAAGGTTTTCCGAAGGGCCTAACCGAGAGCATCAAGCAGAGACCACCTCTGAGAAAGGTATCCACACAGCCGATAGCACATCACGAGAAAGCAGAGCCGTCGCAGAGGAGACAATCTATGCCATTAGGCCAACATGAAAAGGCGGAGACGCCACCGAGGAGACTATCAACGCAGACGTTAGGACACTACGAAAAGGCGCAGACCCCGCACCGGATGGGCTGGATGCACGTCGTGGATGAGTTGCAACGCTCCCCGATGATGCATAGGCGTCACGCCTCAGTCGAGCAGAGTATGCGCTCGCCGCCGTCTATGTCGCCCCTAGGTAGCCCGGTTGCTCTAACGCCGCAAATGGATAACGGACGGTTCCGCGAAGCAATAGAGTCTATCCCGGAACACCGCCTAGCGGAGTAATGACCAATGACCTTTGACGAGCATATCACATAACGACGTTGAACGACGACACCATGACCCCGGAATCCGGTGAGCCTTGTTATGAGCATTTTACGCCTACTTAATTCATTGCACGAGGAGTTTCGGTCACTTCACGAGATACCCCCTTTTTTATATTTCGTTGCATATCACTACATCACCCCGGTTCTCACTTCACGTATATAACTAACTTCGGCCTTCCTTTTGTTACCCCTTCAAAAATTGGATTTTATATCATCGTTACCATACCCGTTCTTAATCGTCTTTGAACTGAATCATGAATTTGGGAATGTCGTATGTATCGGATCTAGTGTAGGGGCATGGACTCGGCTGGGCGGACGGACGGACGGACGGACGACAGGATGATGCAACGAGTTTGGTTTTATGGGAAATGGGATCGACCTAGAATGTCGGTGTATCTAGCTAACCTAGCTAGAACTTGAATCACTGTTAAGATTGATAATGTGGCTTTCGCGCGATGGATATGGTGACTCCATTTATACCATTAGATTGGCTTCTATACACGATTTTATGATGTTTAAATTTCGAGCACAGCACATCGCCCGTCAGTGCCCAGCAACGTCATCCGGTCCAGTCCCATTCCTCTCACCCACTACCGAACTTTGTCAGCCCCTCCATTCACATTTCTCTCCACATGTATGCCTAGGAAAGGGGGGCAAGCCGATATCGAGGTTACCAAGGGAAACGAAATTGGAAGTTAACTCACCGTCCAGAGCGACAAGGAACCTGCTGACGCAGTTGTAAGCCGCAACCTGAATGACTTCGTCAGCCCCTTTTTCCTCGTCTGATGAAGTGCGATCCATCCATCCTTCGTTGACCGTGCGGCGCCCTAATTTAACATCAAGAACAAGAAGAACAGCTTCAACTCACCGTAGCAGTAACCTCCACAACCTCCCTCTCGCTAAACAAGCCCTTGAGCTCCGCAAACGTCTCGTCGGAAACCCGCACGTTGCGCGTCATCTCATCCGCGTACTTTAAGACGACCCACTCGCGCTCGCTCAGCCCAGCCCCCAACGCCTCCCTCTTCGCCTTCTCCCCATCCCCAGCGACCAAAACCTCCCTCCCAACGACCCCGATCCCGGCCTCGCTGACCCCCGCCCCGACCGCCAGCGGCGCGTGGTGCGCCCACTCGTACCACGCGCCGTTGACGACGGCCACGCGGCAGATGGCCAGCTCGCGGACGGCCGCGCCGAGCGACGTGCGCGTCCGCACCGCGCCCAGGAACGCGTTCCACCCGTCCGCCACGGGCGGCGCGTGCAGCAGCGCCAGGTCCAGGGGCTGCAGCGGCCGCGGGGCCCGGCGCGCCGCCATCCGCGATACGATCGCCGCGTCCTCGTCCGTGGTCGGGACGGGCGGGTTGGGGGTGTATGGGAGGCGCATTTTTTATTTTTTTTTTTTATTTTTTTATTTACTTCAACTTTTACCTATTCCTGTTGCTCACTAGGTGGGTTTGTGTGCGTGTAGCCTGCGCGGAGGGTTAGTGCTGGATGGATGTAAGGGGGATAGATACGAGCTGACTCGATTGTCTATGCGTTCCAGAGGCCGGGCCGATGGCTACCTAGCTAGGTGCTTAAGATGCGCTCTGTCGTGATAACCTCGTGTTATCAAAAGAGGATGTCCCTTACAGGTAGAAGGTGCGTCAGAGCATATGTAGCTTGAACCCTCGGGTATATTCGATGCGGATCTCTCCACATCCCGAACATCGGACCGCGATTCTCTTAGTCGGAATCGCTTATCATAGGCTCTCCATCTGCCTGCTATGCCGGCTCGGCAAGTTGACCGGCATTCGTATGCGTTCTGAGTGTGTCACGGCCAGTAATTTTCAAGCTGAATCCACCTTCAAGACACCTTCACCACTCTGCAGGTACCGATCTATATATCAAGAAAAGTTAATCGAGGTATGATACAGGTATACATTACTGTACCCGTTTTTATTATATACTCGTACTTATATGTGAAATACCTATGTACGTCACATCAAATTTGCTATTATCATCTGCTCGAAGTAGCCGTCGTATTTCGAATCATGAATGCGCCCCACAATGCTATGGCAATTATCGTTCTACCTGCAACTTTTGACCTAGAAGTCGTTTACCTAGCCCAAATGGTGTCTAGACCTGACACTTCTGCCCTTTCCCTAACATGGTATATGAAACGTTTTCCCCGTTCGGATGCTGGCCACGTTTATTACAGACCTTTTGAGGTCAAGACAGATCAAAAGAAACCGGAAAACCCTCCTTGGTTGCCCGCGCATTTTCTATAGCGGACCCGGTTTCGTATGCAAAAATACATTAGCCGTAACGCCTTCGCCATCCTTTCAATCAGATTCCCCAGATGTTTCCCTTCCTTTCCTCCCAATTCGCCGCTTTTAATAGGTCCCTAGTTAATACCCCTTTGCGACGTATAGTGTATCGATGTAAATCTTGTCGAAGAAGCTTGTGATTCCCAGACAAGGAAAATGTGAATAGTATGATAATAGGTTTAGAGGCAACAAAGGATCGAGTCAAGAATTAGATAAGGAGGGATAGTAGCGTTAAGGGTATTCCGAAGTGCCGGTGTTCGTATATTGTCGTATATATATGACTGATAGCAACAATTCACCGCCGTATCACGTTACCGCTCCTGTTGCTAGATGCGTACCATTCATTATAGGCTTCTCCTTACGTACAGGAGTCAACTCTAACGGTGTCAAATTTCCGTTTGGTGGTTGATCACTTGCTAAGCGGCCTCCTTTCTTAGGAGTATCTCTGCTCGCTAGATGAGACGCTGTTTCGGGCTCCTCGGGAATCGTGGCGAATTTCTTGAGCACCTGCTTCAAGGCTGGCCGCCGGATGGGCTTGCTGAGGAATTCGTTCATCCCCGATTCCATACAGTCTTGAATGTTACTCTCCTCCGAGAAAGCAGTTAAAGCGACAATTGGTGCTGAATATCCCATCTTCCGAATTAAACGTGTGCTCTGTAAGCCGTCGAGGTTTGGCATTTGAACATCCATAAATATCAAATCGAAGTAAAGATTGTTCTCCATATTCGTTTTTACCATTTCATATGCCTCCTGTCCGTCCTTGGCGATAGTCACATCGTACACGTCTTCCAATTTTAACATCTTGCTGACAACCTCGATATTTGTGGGGTTATCCTCGGCAACAAGAACTCGCAACTTTCCCCCGCCTTTGCTTGCTTTAGCCATTTCGAAGGCGTTCATTCGAGAGGTGGAAGTAGGATCTTTTGAATTGGCCCTGGGACCTGTCGTGAAGAAAGGTTGGCTCAATCCAATGAGACGTGGCTGCTGATCAAGGACAGTAGCTTTAACTTCGGCTGTGGTCTGCGACAGCGTCAGAGAGTTTTTCCTGGAAATCACTTCTGCCGTGCTGCTGATGCTAGGTGCGCGCGAATTGGCGCTGCTAGAGGCTGTGCTTGAAGCTCTGGGCACGTTCTAGTTAGCTAGCGATCTAGACACTCGAAATATCGTCTTACCTATTCTTGGTGTACTTGAGAGGAATCTGCATTGTAAATGTGGTGCCAACACCAACGGTGCTTTTCAGCGAGATGGTTCCTCCCATCAAAGTTGCTAACTGCTGGCAAATACTCAATCCCAAACCAGTTCCTCCAAACTTCTTACTAAGACCGAGGTCGCCCTGGACGAATGGTTCAAAAACGCGTTGTTGCATATTCTCTGGAATGCCGGGACCGGTATCCTCAACCTCGAATTCGAACAGGAATGATTTTGCACTTGGCGGAGGTGGCGTTGGTGACCTTTCACGGATGCGTACGTAGGGTGTTGCTTTGGGATCTAGGGGGTTGATGGATAAGGCTGTGCCACCTCCCTTATATTGAGGGATTGTCATTTCGTTTGAGCTCTTGGATCTGTTCGACCCCGGTCCCATTCTACCCCGGGCTCTGCTTGGGCGACCGGAGCCGGTTTTCGACATGGATGACGCTCTGCTCTCGTCGAAGGTTTCTATTTCGCGTAGGCATTTTATCCTAACCGATACTTTCCCCCCAGGAGGCGTGAATTTAAGGCTGTTACTCACAAGATTGATAAGCACTTGTAAAATTCGATGCTGGTCACCCCATAGGCACATATCCTTTAGCCTACCAGTCCCGAGGGGCCCGATTGCTGGAAGCTTCTCGTCTATCTCCGCTTGTTTGGAGCTCGAGCCAATATCGGGTTCGGTGCCCAAAAAGGTGACCGAGAAATCAATCGATCCTTCACGAACTTGTTTGTCAAAAATAGTCGTGACCTGCGACCGGATATCGCCTAACCGGAATTCCCTCTCCTCAAGGCTTAATTGTTGTCCGATCTGGTTCTTTGAGAAGCTTAACAAGTCTTCGAGGAGATGCAAGAGTAGGTCGCCAGACTTGTACAAGGTTTTCAGAGACTGTTTGATCCGATTCAGATCGTCTTCCTCCATGCAAACTGCGCACATGCCCAGGATACCGTTTAGAGGCGTCTTAAGTTCGTGAGAGATGTTTGCGATGAACAAAGTCTTACTTTCATTAGCAGCCTCGGCAGCCTTCTTACTAATCTGGAGCTCATGTGTTCTCTCTGCAACTTTGTCTTCTAAGGAGGTGTACTGCTTTAAGAGTTCGTCGCTCATCTCATTGAAGGTCGTCGTCAATTCCGTAAGCTCGTCTGTTACGAAATGCTTCCGTTCGCTAACTTTGCGTGGAATCTTGAAAACCCGCCTTGCTGGCTCGCTACCATGTACTGAGGGAGTGGCAGCACTTGATCGTGTATGTTTCCGGATGAATCGTCTCAATCGAACTAGAGTCCCGTTATCCGACTTGTGACCCGTGCTCTCCGACCCAGGATGATCTGCGTCGTCGTCGTAATCTAGATCGTCTATATAAGACTCAGCATAACCCGGGGGCGCGATTGATTTTTCCGTAGCAGATTTCAGCCTTCGAATTGGCAGGACGCTTAGATGAGCACATGGTAGAACCAGGATGAGAGTAAGGCCTATAGTCCCGAAGACGCAACCGAGAAGGATATGCTGAAGTGTCTTGATTGGGATATACGCCTCCGCTTTGTCCTGTTCGACTATGAGCGTCCAGTTCACCAAAGAAGTCTGCGGGCGAGCATAGCCAACAGCGACAGAAACTCCCTGCTCATTTTTAGTGGAAAATAAACTGCTAGCGTTATTGACCGCGGAATTCTGTTGGGTGAAAGCCCTGTATACAGCATCATATGATGAGACTTTGAAAGGCTGGTAATAGTTTCCGGAGGCATAATTATGCAGCGAGTGCCTATCGGTCTGACGGGACATTGCCCGAGGGGGTAGGACGAATTTGACATTGACGTCCGAGAAATTGGACGCCGCCGGATGAGTCGCGTTTGCGGGCAAATTATACTTGCTGAAACGATTCCATCCAGTCGAAGGGCCGACGAGCAAAACAGAACCCGTGTCTCCTAAACCTTCCTTAGACCCCGCGATATTAATAATCGACGAGGCCTCACCGATGGTCGTCATGTAACCAAGTATCACATCGTCCCGTACGATACTACGAATCGGTATAGTCAACGAGATCAAGGCGAAACTCTCATTGACGACTAACGGGCCCAATACCAATCCATCCACACTCGAATCAATTCGGATGTCCGGGAACGGTCGGGCCACGACGGCAGTGTGGTTCGGATATCCAGGGTCGGGATTTGTGGAATTGTAATACGTAATATTCGGGTACAACGCGGGAGGATAGCCTGACGGATTGTCACCTAAAATAGCCTGAGACCCATCAGAGGCCTTGTAAGGTAGTCGGATCTCAGAGACGTTACTACCGGTGACACTGAGAAGTCCATCGGGACGGTCTCCACCTGTTTGATTTCGCGAATAGAGTCTTGCCTGTAGTAGGTTGCTGGTGATGCCAGGGCGAGAGAGGAGGGCGCTCGAAATGTCGGCAGCGGCCTGACTCCAAAAAGCGTCGCTATCATTACCGATATAATATGATACAAGCGCTTGCTGGAGAAGCAACCTCGTAGCTATGTGGTTACAGGTCGTCTGTATCAATTCAATCTCAGAGGCAACCTGGGCAGCTTTGAGAGATGCTGTTAACGAAAGTCCGGACGTCTCCACACCAACGACGAAGCGGTTCACGTAGATCCACGTTGGTATAGAGAGGATAGCGAGACCGACAAGTACAGCGAGCAGCACGAGCGCTGCTAACTGTTCCCGTATCGCAACTCTCATTATTTCCAACCTATGATGGGAAAACTACCAGATTCCGTAGTCCATTCATTCTTTTATTTGGACTGCGATTTAGTATTCTTTCGAACTCTGAACTTCGATCGTAGGGCGGAGAAAGTAGTAAGGAAAAACGAAGGATATGGTAGTGGATGAAGGGTGGGAAAACTGGTGATTTTCTCCCCAACTTTGGCTTGCGCTCTTCCAAGACTGTCTCTTTTCTCTCGCCAATTGATACACCATACACACCACACACCGAAGTGCAGGTGAATCTCGAAGGAGCAAAAAGAGAAGTGAAAAAAATAATAAGCTGTACGACCCTTTACCCACTCTCCCGTATCACCGTATGCACCAGAAGTGCGCCAGTGCAACGAGAGAGAAAAGAGAAAAAGGAAGTAAAAAAAGGAAAATGGAGGTACTAAAGGTGGTGTGTGGTATATTACAAGCTGCGCAAGGTAAGGTTGCCGAGAGAGTGGAAGGGAAGGAACCTTGATCGCCGCTCGGAGCTAAACTGCCAGGCCAGACTCACAGGACAAGGTAGGCTCGGTAGGTACTTTACCAGGTATGTGCAGTTGGTTGCAGTAGCACCAGTATCAGGAAGGAACGTAATCAATTGGACTTAATGCTGGGGTACATAAGCTCAATTGGTGCAGATGCGACGATGAACGACTTCCCCTAGCCAACAACTAACTTGGGTCACTAGGAAGGTACAGGGAGTGAATAGGTAGGTACCTAACGGATTGAACGTGGTGTTACGACACGGAAGTTCACACGAAGCTGCCAGGTGCTCTGGTACGAAGTAGAATCTGAGCAATCTGACCCGGCATGCCCAGCTAATTAGAAGCTTCAGCTGAGCCGCTAAGACACTTGGACGTATTTTACCTTATTCATAACTAACCTAGTCAAACTTTGGCGCGAATAATTCCATTCCACTACCGGGTTCTTGATAGGTAACTACATACATATGGATATCAAACATATCAGATAGGTAGGTATGCGTAAAATCCCATCGAATTCTGTAGTCAATTTGCTGATCGACAAGAAAAGAGGATCATGCCATGCCAGTTTAGCCATGTGTACTTAACAAGATCTTAGATGTTTAAATGGTAGCAGATTGACGATTACTTAGCTCTAGACTTGCAAATAATATGCACGGTAGTGGCACGGTGCTGTGTGTGAACGTAAGCAGCGGGCAAGAATAAGCAACATCTGCAGGGCGAATAAGAATCTGTATGTGATTAAGAAAATAGGATTAATAATAAGCAGCCACAAGGTACTGATCGACGATCTGAAGTAGTATTGCAACATCGCAACATTGTGTATTATGCTCTCTTTTGCTTGATAGGTGCCATGCATCTGTCAGTCTATCGATGCGTTTTCAGGTCGAAAATACTATACGATAGGTAATATTCCCTTAGGTGGTGTCGAAGTGTCGAACGTGTTGATGTGTGTACTGTATGGAGAATGTAACGACGAGAGATACACGACATTCCTCCACTCCTTCTCGATTAAGGGCGCGGGGAGAGTCGAACTTAGCGGTAGAGATAAACGGACCAGAAACGAAAGAGCTGGCGCCTTGTACATCATTACCTATTCGAGCGACATCAGAAAGTTTGGGACGGATCTTGAATTGGTGTTTAAGCCATGTTAAGTTTTAATCCCCGTAAGACCATGCGGTAATGCGGGCTATGCATGATCTAGACCGGGAAGGCCCACAAGACCCACCAATCTACACCACTGGGCTGACAGGGAACCCTGCCCCCTGTTCGAACACATCAATTAATGGAACGATGTTCGACCCCAATTCGGTTAAGCTTCTTCCTCTTTTGTGAAACATGGAACCAACCGTTCAGAGGATTGGAAACCGCGATGCCTTCACGCCGAGGCTATCCGTAAAGTACGCAGATACCTAATCAATAATTATCTAATACATAATAGGTACATAACGACAAAAGCTGCCCCTCATAATCTTGTCCTGTTCTTCATCGATTGCTCCAATTCTGCTAAATATAAGCGGTTATGTATGATTCATTCGTTCGGCTTATGTCATAACCGTCATCTTCGAAAAGGCATATAGGTATAATATATATGTCAAGTAGTGCGCTTAACCTATGTAGCGTCTTATTCAATACTACCTAGGTACAAGTATAGAGGCTAGTACGTTCAGTTCCAACAGATATGACCAGTGGATGAGAGTTGATTACTAGTGATTTAAGACGGAGTTGTCCAGTGTCTCTTACGGCCGGGGCGCGAACAAGGGAGACGGGGAAGCATTCCACCAGTAGCTGAGCTCCAATAGCTAGTCCCTGTCTATCTCGGTAGGCAAGTACTAATGCTCAAGCGTTTCTGACTGACTCATTGCATGCACTGTACCCGTGGATATACGACGGCATTTTCTTCAACAGGCGACTAGCTCTCACCCTCTTCTCGCGACCTTTTCGCTTCCTCGAAACGAAGGTGACGTGCGACATCTGGGGAGAGCGGTAGCTAGTTGTCTGCCCCGGTGCACCCGAGACACGGACTCGTACTGAGCTAAGGTGAGTCGAGGTTCGACCGAGTCATAACTTCTCCGCAATTATGTGGCCGCCGGAACGCATGTTTGAGGGACAGGTAAACCGAGTAGGGGCTCGGGGTTTCAAGTCCTGAGTAATCAGTCTATTAAGGCGGACCCTCGCAGTATCGAGTCCTATCACGCATAGCACTCGCCCGGCTCCGGGGGTTGCACGTCGTCATCCTCAACCCCAAAGCTAAGGTGTTCGACGCGACCAGCTTCGTTATCATTCTCAGCATGCCACTCGGGCGGCATCTTTACGATGCCCCAGCGTATCTTGCTCCTGGAGAGTTTGGTGAAAGGACCATTATGCTGCTCGTCATCCGCTTTATCTCCCATATCATCATCGCCATCCTCACTGCTGCGATCTGGCAGTAAGAGTTTCGAAACTGAAGAGGACTGAGATGACTGGTTGATAGTTGTAACGGAAGCCGGTCTGTATTTCTTCATCTCGAAGCTGTCTCCTCCGATACTCTCGTCGTAGGCTTCATTAGTGAGAAGTGCATATGGTTGCCTTAGCGGTTGCGGAGGCTGTGGGGTTTCTGGCAGGTCGAAATTGGGCGCCGCTGGTGAATCTAGCATCAGGGAATCCGCCCGACCTTTGACGGCGCATGATAAGATCGAGGCGTGACACGCGGCAGACAACGCGAGCGAATTGCTTCCGATATTCACCATGTTTGGTGGGAGTCTTTTCCAACTCAGAAAGAAAGGGACCAAGACCAGTACACATGAGGCAACTATTAGTCCCAGGAGCGAATAGCCTGAGTATCCGACGGCGACAGCGGTGTTAGCAGGTAGGCTTGCGTCCGTTGAGCCCCCACCGACGAAGCTGTTCGTACCGAAATAACCTGATAGCAGCTGGTGAGTTTGACATCTACCATGGATTTATATACATATGGTCGGCGGGGAGGGGGAAGTAGTTTACCTCCAGTTGATACAAAGAGATAGATAGTATTTGAAAGTAGCCAATGGAGGAATATGCTGACCAGTATGAGAGGGATACTATATTTATACGGCAGTTGAAGCCGATAGGTAGAATATTGTTCGCCCTAACCTGTCAGCATGTTCACCGAACAGGTAGAATTCATCCATTAGTACCTTTGGATCTGTGACTCTCAAGGGGTGATACCCTTGACTATAGAGCGACCACTCTCGGGCCATTTGCAGGCGGGTAAATAGGTTGTTATAGGTAAGATAGCAGAACGAAAGTAAGAGTTGTGGACTGTTAGCAAGCAGAACACCAGTCACAAATGTGAACGGGATATCGAGGAATGAGTTCTCTTCGCTCTCAAAGAACGAACCAAAACTAAGCATCACTTATGTCAGAGGAGTAGTTCTTGATCAGTATTCGTTTCAGGGGTGGCTCACAGTGAGTTACTCGATGCGATGCCATTGAAGAAATAACCGCAGAGACCGATGCTAATGGCAAAAAGCAAGTAGCTCGTCAGCCATACGGATCTAGGAATAACTGACCCCCGCCGTTTGCGTAAGGACTGCCATTGCCTGGGTCCGGGGACTAGAAAGGCCTTCTTCTGTGACATAGCTCTCCGAATTTCGTCCTGTCCTATGGTTGCCATACTCCTAGTAACACGGTCCGGCTTTTCAAGGAATGACTCCATGGCATCTCCCAGGGTGACCAACGGTGGTTGGTTACGGCGGCTTAAAACGACCGTAACCGTAATTGCAGTGCAAGTCTTGAAGATAACGCATATGGTAACTGCTAGCAGAAGTGTTGGTGAGATTCCGATATGGCATACTCTGCTGACGGGTTCTGCAAGACAGTATTTTACTGTGATATTGAATGTCCCAGGCTGAAGTCCCGATGTGAGAGCACTACCATATAATAGATGCGGCGGATAATCGGTGGTTTGAGTACCGTTGACCATACCAATGTCCCCCGTAGCAAAGAAAGGGAATTGCCAATCCGGTAGAGCAACAAATTCAGCAAGACCACTATATGCAGAATCCATGCCGACGGCTCCTAAACAGTTATTCTCGCAAGCAGTGGGGGTGTTGTATGTACGTGCGGCGTACATCACGCATTGCGCACTATAGAATAGATGGTTAGACTGATTCGCGGGTACGTAGCGATCCCATATTTCGGTTTGGTTATCCATGAGATGCCACATTTCGTCTCGTTTCCATCCACTGGGCTTGTCAACGACGACGATTAAATTTTGATGGTTCTTCAATCCGCTACAATTAATATATTCTTGCTTGCATTGACTTATGCTCAGCTTCTCCCAGTTACGGCCAGATATGGCTGTAGAGGATATGTTTCTCATAACGACTGAGCTAGAGTCGGCGTAGTCGGTGAGGTTAACAGGTGCACCGTACGTGCCAAACGTAGGGTAATAATAAGAACTAGAATTCACCGACTCCGTAATTACCCCAGATCCTAACCAGAGCGGGAACCCAGCTTGGACTAGGCCCGCGCCAGGGGCGTAATAGGAGCCTCCGTTCACAAAATCCTCGGTAGCAATAGTCAGATGGTAATCGGAATTCCTACCTACAACGAGCGTTTAGTGTTGATCGATGACGGACTTTATTATTGAGTGTTACTTACTATCTGTCTGGAATATGGTGGAATTGAACAGTAAGTGAATTGGGATTGAGCTCACAAGGAGACAGATCCAGCACCACGTCTTGAATCTGGATACTCTAAATGCATTTCGAACCGACGGTATACCGATTCCCAACCAAGAACCTTGGAAATGAGCCGTATTTACTTCTCGTCTCGAAGGCGAGTTGAGAACTTGCATGAAAAAGTTACTCGATGCTAGCCTATATTATTCGGATCGCCCTGGGTTAGCCTATAAAGCGAGATCGCCAATATGAGAGACAAAATAACGGTGCTTTCCGTAAGAGCGTTGATGGGCTATTGAACAATATAAGAATTGGAAAAGGCCACAACTCACTAAGACACCAAATTAGTATAAAGGGACCAGAAAGGAGAAGCTTGTCGCATATCCCAAGTTTTCTTTTCAGGCAAAGAACACCTACCACAAGTGTTGAGACGATGTTGATCAGTAAATGGAGTACCATGTTAACTTTGGACACACTTCCACCATCACAATCACCATCATAAAAGAATAGGGCCTTGTAGAGGCCGTTTTTGGATGTGGCGGCGATCAGAAAACCTATTAAGGTCATTGACATGGTCGCAAGAACGATGCTATTAACTTTAGCGGCCCGTCTCCAACCAGTAGAACGACGACTATCGCTACTCCGGATGTTTAGAAAGTCCATAGTAGACGATATTCTAAGCTTGAAGCTTCGTACATCAAGTAGCAACCCGCGGGGAGTATCGTTGAACTTGTGGCTTCTGGCAGGCGGTAGGAAGGCGACCAAAGTGAAATTTATAAATCCGGACGTTGCTTGTGCTTGACAAATGTCTTGCCTTTTTAGATCATTACATGATTTTGGCCCCCACCTAGTTTCTTCTGCATTCAAGTGAGACTGGGGAGATTAGGTGTACCGGCAGGGCTGACAGGGGGCTGTGGGAGCATATGCAAGAGGTGTCTATCGAGGGCAGATCCAAGAAAGTATGATTAGGGGCTACAGATCTTTGCCGTATTAGCGAGGCGAGGCTGGTTAGGTATTGTTCAGCGCGTCATTTCAACTCTTACTATTGGTCAGGATTCTGAATGTGAGTAGACAACAAGGGTTTTGTGAGTGGGACTACGGACTACCCTACGGAGTAGCATTTTCTTCGTTTCTTTGCCATATATTACAGCCTATTGAAGAACCAACAGGCAGAAATGACAAGATATAGAGATATGCTATCTTGCTCCTACAACCTATTAACAAAAGAGGCTTAACTGTGACGGTACTATTACATACCTACCTATACTTACCCAAGTACTTGTTGAACTTGTTTATCTTAATAAGGATTTCAATGCTACAGTGTCAAATGTCTCTAACCAAGGTTCAGGCAGAAACGCCACATGTAGGAGAAAAGCTGTCGTGGAACGTCATATTCGGAGAAGTTCAGAGCACTTCAGATGAAAGGGACTAATCCCATTAAGTAATATAATCATTACAAGCTGAACTAGCGCATAATTCAACGCCCAAGGCTTGAAGATGTTGGTTGAGCAGTCCATAATCGTAGTGTGGCCACATCAAATCATTGCCTAGCTGAACCGTCATGTCGATTTTATATAATCGTCACACGTACACAATGTCTCTTCGTTCCCTTAGTGGCGTTCCGTTATCTAAAACACCTCTGAATGTATTAGTTCGCTATGTCCCATATAAAATTATGAGAGAACTATAGGGATGGAAAGACTTTCAGACAGGTTGAGAAGATATATAATACACGGTTTTTGTCGGCATGCACAGTCAAATATCTGGAAATCCAGACCTGACGGCATTCGCTGGCCCCGTGCTCGTCATCATTTAGCAAGAACAAATATTAGTGAAAAGTACTTACCCGACGTGTATTCTAAGTCGAACTTAAGAAGATGATGGGTGAGACAAAGCGGAGCCCACTTTGGAGGCGAAGGGCAAACTCGGCCCAGGATTAATCACCCGTTTGGCTTCATCTCGTGATTGCTGACATCAACGATGATTGGACCTTCTCAAGTCTCAGGCCTAAATTTTCCTCTTTTCTCTTTCATAGCTTGGACCCTCTTCTTGTCTTCCTCAAACTTTTTCAATGTCTCGATCTGTTCAGCCTTCCTCTTCTCGCGCATTTGGAATCGGTAAAAGTCTGTCATATCGTCCTTCTTCTTTTGTTGCTTCTCCAGCATCTTCTGCTTCGCTTCTTCTGCCTCGTCCCTTCTAGCGGGAGCAGCCCGGCCACCTCTCGTGACCGTCACAAATCCATCTTCGTCCGGTTCGTTGCGTAGCCTCTTAGCGAGTTGCTCCGCCTCCTTCTCCTTTCGGTTAAAGACGGTGAAGTAGATGTCCATCGTAGCTTGGACAATATCATTGCCGGGGTACGTCATCGTATTGTGTGCTTTTAGCCATTGTGAACCCAGAGGTGGGACCTTGTCGCCAACACCATCGCCCCAGACCGGAAAATCTTTTGGCTTCTTCAGCTTCTTGGTAGCTTTGAGGACCAGATCAACGCTCTTCTCGTCGGCAAACAGGGCTATAGCACAGCTACCACTATGGTACAGTTGTCTTGACCACGTGGGCGGCAATTCAGCAGCGGCTTCGTCTCTCTCATACCGCGATTCCTCGTCGGCTCTCTTGCGCTTCTTATGCGCTGCTAAACGTAGCGCTTGGGCGGGTTCGTGGGTGGATTCAGATTGTTTCTTGCCTTGTGTGAAGGCGATGCTCTCGAATTTTCCTGCTCCCACTAGGCGGGAGAATAAGGCGCGAAAGTGGAGTTCCGTGCTATCGGTAGGAATATTGGCAATGAAGAGACTTCGAGAGTCATCAGGAGTCGGTATTCTAGGTGTATTTCTTCGTATGTAAAGGTAATGGGTCGTCTTAGCAGAAAACGAGGGTAGAGGAGGAATCAATATTTGCAATGGGGAGAAATCCTCTACTAAAGACTTTGATTCAGTCATTGTGAATCGGTTGGTGTAGTATTTGTTGTTGTTGTTATTGTTGTTGTAGTAAAAACATGAACGAATATGAATTTCGACTTGCAAAGTTGTAGTATTGGTTGAAAGAAAAAGTTTTAGTGGGTCACTTCAGGCCTGTGTTAAGTAAATAAAAAATAAACGGTTAAAGTAATAATCTGTTCATGGCATAAGGAAAAAAACGTTTATGGCAATATCTGCATAGCCGAATATTGGATCATTTTACAAAAACCTGCCACATCATTTGAATTTTACCTTTTCTTATTTCCTATCCATAGACCTTCATATATTAATGAGACTAGAGTCAAATAGAATCGAAATATCTATTTTTTTCTTCATCAGATCAATCAAGTCATCGTAAGATACCAACAGTCAAGCCTAAACGGAAAGTAAGAACATCTTTTGTTTTGATGGACCTAGTAGTCTGTAATGCTACCGTCGTAGTTAGCCAGTCGATAATCCCAGCCGGACCCCGCGGAGACCTCGGTGAGATCCACATCCGGCATTAAGAGAAATCTCTTCTTAATGTCAATGAGTTTGATCCCCACGACCGCCAGTTACTTAATTAAGGGTCTGTTTTTACTCCATTAAGTTTCATGAATTTTAGCCTATCAAAAGACAGCATCTAGTACGTGACTTTGATATGCTTAAATATGTGTTGAAACGGTTCCTCGGTACTTGCCGTGGGATGCTGGTACTGACTCTTTTCTTGCACTAAATAACCCGTTTTCTAGAAATTAACCCTTGTCTGGCTGTCAGGGGGATAGGAAGGGTAGTGGATTCTTTATGATTCCTCTCATAATAACGGGTTCTTCTCTACTTAATAAATACATTTACCATATAGGTAGACGCACGATCTAAGGAGCCATTATGGGATTCGTCAGTGGCATAAGGCAATTCCTCTCAGGGACCAGGAAAGATCCAAAATCGAAACCTCCGTGGCTCCTCTCAATTCGGTCCTCGAAGACCCTGATAATGCTAACTGGTTCGTTCAGCATCTGTTAACTTAACTAGTACTTCAATTCAGGATGTATCACTAACCGGTAGGATACAAGTGGCCCTGGCTATCTTCACCGATATCTTCTACTATTCACTGATAGTTCCAGTCGTGCCGTTTTCACTCACTATTCAAGTCGGCATCCCCGAAGACCAAGTTCAACACTGGACCTCCATCTTGTTGTCCTGCTACAGCGTAGCTTTATTCGTCGGTAGCCCCATTGCTGGAGTGTACGCGGATCACACCTCATCACGACGATGGCCATTGCTTATCGGGCTTATTGCGCTAGCTGCCTCGACTCTGTTGCTATGTTTTGGCAACTCAATCGGCCTGTTGGTCGTGGGCAGGCTGCTTCAAGGGTTCAGTGCGGCTATTGTCTGGAGTGTAGGATGCGCCTTGGTAGTTGACACCATGGAGAGCGCTGTGGGTGTCGCCGTAGGTTACTTCGGTGTGGCGGTGAGTGTCGGAACGCTTATCGGCCCGGTCATAGGAGGTGCTGTATACAGCGCAGCGGGTTATTACGCTGTTTACTACGTCGCCTTCGGTGTTGTTGCCCTTGACATTTTGTTACGACTCGTCATGATCGAAAAGAAGGTTGCCAAGCAATGGATTGATGAGGATGAGTACACTAGCCCTCCAGGAATAGGGACTGGACAGTCAGATATCGAGGCTACTAGTTTGCCCAATGGGGCAAAGGAAATACGTGTCGCAGCCCAAGAAAAAGGTGACGATAAAATGCGAACTGAAGGCGTCAATAATACCGATCAGGACCCGATAACGCCAACCACGAAAACTGGTATAGGCTCCTCTTTCAAGATCCTTTTGAAGTCACCGAGATTACTTGCCACGTTATACGGCCTCTGCACCCAGTCCGGTACCATGTGAGTATATAACTTGTTTATCTATTGGTATCTATGGAGTCTATCTAACCGCCGATAGGATGGCGTTCGATGCCACATTAGCTTTATTCGTCCAGAGCACCTTCGAATGGAGTTCGACAGCCGCTGGAATTATGTTTCTAGCAATCTTTATACCTACCTTTATCTCCCCGGTGGTGGGTTGGCTTTCGGACAAATATGGCGCTAAATGGCCATCGTTCTTCGGATTCTGCCTAACTGTGCCGCTACTTGTGTGCCTCCGCTTCGTCACCCAGAACACTATCCAGCATAAAGTATTACTCGGCTTCCTGCTTGCCCTACTAGGAATCTCCTTATCATTTGTCAACGTACCCCTCATGGCCGAGATTACCTATGCCATCGAAGATAAAGCCGCTGAGGAGCCGGGGATCTTTGGAGAAAAGGGGGTATATGGTCTGGGCTACGGGCTCTTTACCATGTCCTTTGCTCTCGGAGGGACCATTGGGCCTTTATGGGCTGGTTATGTTTTCAAATCTGCAGGATGGGGTACCATGACGTGGAGCTTTGCTGTCTGGGCAGCAACAGGGGCAATAGTCGTATTCATCTGGGTTGGCGCCAAAGTCGATAGGATAGAGAGAGCAGAAGGAACGATTACAAGCCAGCACAATGAAAATAATGCGAATTAATGGTATCACAGAGTATATACCTAGGTATATAGGTACGGGAATAGAACTACGGTAATCTTATTTAACTAGCTCTACAATATCCCTCCTTCAGTGCCAGCTACGTTCTGCGGCTAGGGAAGATGCCACCTAGTATATGATGCAACCGCGCAACGAAAGTGATGAAGGTCTCATGGTACCATATTCGCACCAACAGGTATGTTATATCGCATGCTCTGGATACTATAGGTACTATCTGTCACATACTGTTATGTCCTCGATACCATTGTGTAACTGTCCTTTTCGTATCTAGGTAAGCATTCTCCATATTTCGTATTCTACCTTGCATCTGATCAAGCATCCATATGGATATCAAATCTCAATAGCAATCTTCCCAATCCCCCTACTAACACAACTCAACATCGCCTCCCCCCTCTCGCTCTCCATCAGCCCCGTACCCCTATGATCAACCCTCCCGCTCCTTAGCACCACCTTACACGTGCCGCAATTCCCCACCTCGCAGCTGCTCGCTACATCCTCGTCGCCGAATCGTTTCCTCAGCACCTCCAACAGCGTCTCCTCCGCGCCCACGCTCAGCGTGGTCATGCTCTTCTCCCGCGCGCAGCTGACCTCGACCTCGAACGGGTCGCCCGCCGTGTCCGCGGCGAACGCTTCGAGATGGACCTCGTCCTCGCCGAGGCCGCGCTTCTTCGCCTCGCGCGCCGCTTCCCCGAGCATGCGGCTCGGCCCGCACACGTAGACGTGCGAGTTCCAGGGCAGGGCCGCGAAGATGGCGGGGATGTCCATGCGCTGTCCCTTGCTGCGATCGTACAGCCTCACCGTATCCCCGAGAGCGTCGATGCGCGATTTGAACGGTATGTCGGCGGGGGCCTCGCGCACGCCGTAGTGTAGCGTGGTCTCCCAGTGGATTTTCTTGTACATGTCTACGAGACTGAGAAACGCCGTGATACCGATCCCGCCGGCGATGAAGACGTGGTTGCTAGCTGCACTCGCGGGTTTCACGTCCGACGTCACGCGGCCAACTTGCAGGATATCGCCCTCCTCCGCCTTGGTGTGGAACCACGCCGAGCCGCCGCGACTCGGCTCTTCCAGAGCGATACCTAGCTCAAACCGATCTGGGGTCCCGGAGACGACGGAGTACGAGCGCATGAGCCCGTCCGGTAGCCTAAGGCGTGCGTGCGCGCCAAGCGGCATCTCTTCGGCTTTGGGATCGGGGTCCACGGCCTCGAGGACGAAAGACGCGATGCGCGGGGTTTGAGTCGTCTTCTCGACGATGCGGAAGTCGCGCCACCTATCCCTGTTTTCGCCGTTGAGAGTGGCGGCTTCGCGCTTCTGTTTTGCCTTGAGCTTTTCCACGCGTCGTTCAAACGCCTTTCTGCTTTCGTCTCCCATGTCTGTGATGGCGGCGAGCTCCTCGTTCATTGCGGCATTGTCTTGTGTTCTGTGGAGGTACTCTTGAACGCGCTCGATGGTCCACTTGGGCCATCTACGTTCCACAAGGCGGATCTCGTCGCCCGCCTGTACGGTGCCTTCACGTAGCACTCTATAATACCACCCAGTACGACTGGTCTTGTAGGTGTTTGGCGCAAAGTTTTTGATTTGGAAGCGGTGGTTCAACTTGAAACATGGCTGCCGTGGCAGGCTGACTTGGAGGAGGACACCGTCGTTACCAACACTGACTATGTCTCCAATACACACATTTCTTTCATTCACTGCCGAATGAGGAAAGAGTCAACAAAAGTTAATGATCTTGACAGAGTATGGGATAAACATTGTCGAAGGGGACCTTAATTAGGTACCTATGTAAAGCCGCGCTTAATGGTTGAGCTAGGACTTGCAACATTCACGGATAGGGGTAATGATCGATAAGCTTTAAAATCACTCACTGCGCTCCGTTACAAAATTCTCGCCGAAACCGCCACGTTCAAAACGGGTCGCAGCATCAGGAAATTCTTTTTTCCATGTTGCATAGTGAGTACAGCAATCTAGGTCTCATATCAGATTCATCCAGGCCGATGTCAGGTATGGAAGGGGTGCTGACTGACATCCGTGAATCGCCTTATCCGGGCCACCGTGAAAGACAAGATCGTGTTCATCGAGTTGGAGCCCGACGAAAGAAACCGGAATGCGGCCAGATCGCAACTTCTTGTGTATACCCGTCTCAACCTTGAGCCCCGGCATCATTTCCATTCTGCTAGTGCGAACTTCGAGTATGACGTCCCGTTCGAAGGGCGCAAACAAATCGATATCAGATGTTGGTGACATGGTTTCATAACATAGTAGTAAGGAAAAAAAAGGGGGGGTTCGCTAAGACTAATTTCGAAAATTGAGATAATCTAGAATCTGGAGATGCTGAGTTTGAATATCTAGCACTGGCTCACGAGAAGGAACAAAAGGAGAAAAGGGAGAGAAGTTGAACCTAAATCCACTTAGGGATTATGTCGACCTAAATTTATCTCCGAATGTCGTTAGTAAGGCGTAAGAGGACGACTCCGCGGACCCGTATTTGCAGAATCCTACATGGGAGCGATGCCTGAAGTTGTGTGTATTCCAAGTATCCAGGTATAAGGAGAAGCTACCTAAATCTGTAACCAAAACAGTTAGAAAAAATGTACGCGCCATTTCTGTTACATTGAGGCATCCATAATAGATTTCAATGTGCATTGGGATATTTAGGTTGCAAACAGGAGACGTTGTACCTTACGCTAGTAACATGGGTGTATCGATACTTAGCCCCTTTAAGTGCCCAGTCTAATTCAAGATCTTATGATCCATTAGGTATGCATTCACTCAACACCTTCTAGTCAAGTTGGTACCTAATATTATCGATGTCACAGTCAATTTCTCTATGGATTTAAGTAGGTAACCTTTGTTATCTGAGAACTTAGCAAATGTAAGTGCTTCATTCGTCTTCGAACTCTTCTATTGGGTCCCCGTCGAAATCTGGAAGCTGTCGAATATCGGTCCTTCCATCTGTAGCCTTCCTCTTATGTCTGCCTCTCTTCTCCCCACGATAATTTGACGTGGGCTTCGGCCCATGCGTCGTTGAAGTACTTGAATTAGCAAGTTTTCCGACGAAAGTTCTAGGCTGCGCGAAGCGAAAAGGTGAACCCTGCTCGGTCATAGTCGTTGAACCAGCCGTAGCTAAGTTGCTAGATACCGCTTCTGAGTCTAGCGTCCCTTGTGTTGCCATATGACTTTCGCTCGAACATGAGAGATGGGGGCTATCGTCTTTCTCGCCGCGTCCAAAAGAGTCTACTCCACAAACCGCACTATTTTCTGTAAAACTGACGGCGAATGTGTGTGTGTCAGGAGGACGTAATTCTGCCGCGGCTTGTTGCGCAGCCTCTGTGAATGCTCTCGCTTCTAAGTCCTCGCTGTCGCCACCGAAGACAAATTTCATCCAAGCATCGTTATCATATTCTAGTTGAGTTTCGGCATTCTTATTATTTGACTCATTTTTACTCGAAATAGCAGCGTCTTCTTCGTAAATGGGAATTCGAATATCATCGTAGCTACTTGTACTTGAGTCGGGAAACTGATAACTCATGCTCGCTACCGGTTCGCTCGAGATATCGTAACTTGGCAGTCTTGCCTGCAAATTTGATGGTAAAACACTAGTTCCTGAGGTGCTCGACGACGTCGTAACATGCAAAGTAGCTGCAGCATCAATTGGTAGGTTATCTGATGAGCTAGGAACCAAGTTTTTCCAAAATTCTTGGTCCGCTTCTTGTGACGGCGCTGGCCTCGCTGGGCGCTCGATCTCCACCCGCATACTTCCCCAATCCTCGGATCCGGACGAAGCTGGAGACCAATCCAGTACCATGAAGTTATTGTATCTCCGGCGAGGAACTGGTTCATGAATGATCGACGAGGAGTGGACAACGTAGGTTGGTTCTTCTGGCTCTAGTGGCCTCACGTGTCCCTTGGGATATGTATCATATTGTTCTCCTGTTTCGTACATGATATCCTCTGTAATCCGTGGGGACTTGTTACTTCGCGTTGGCGCCACATATAGATGACGAGCGTGGCTGGGTTCTGGGCTTGAAATTGGATTTGATCGTATTTGAGATGAGCTCGCTAAGGGCTGAGGTGCTAGGCTATATCTTCTTGACACTGTGCTCAGACTTGGGTTGATTTCCTGACTTCCAATCTGAATTTTGAATGGATGACCACGAGCTTCTTGGAGAGGACTGCTTGGTGATTCATGGCGTCTCTGCACCGCACGTGGCCGTGAGCGACCTGATCTAGCCCATCTTGAACCGGTGAGCGGTTGGAGCTGCCTGGGGAAAGTGATGTCGATTGGTTGCTGCAAATTCAATCCAACCCAATCCTGTTGATCAAGTAATCTTCTTCTCTTTTCGCGGATAGATGATTGATGTTTAAAGTCACCTGATACATCCGGAGCTCGCTTCCGCTTCTCAACTAAGAGGGGGCTTGACAATGGTCTGTATTGTACACCTCCAGAACCATCACGGTGTCTTGAGCCTCGTGAATTTCCGGGTCCGAGGAAGGATATAGATATAGGGCTCTTCTTGACACCACCGTTGAATAGGCCATTGCGGACTTTTGCGAAATGTTGCTTCTGTCGCGTGAGTAATTCATTACGCTGTCTCCCTCTGGAATGGCGAGACAAGTTTCCCTCGGTCCAATTCATAATCGAGCTGGACGCTCTTATACGAATATTACCATGAATATACCTAGTAGACGATTCGGAAAAGGATATATGGTGAGAATAACGGAGTATTATATTATTACCTTTGCCTGATGCGTACATGTATTGTGAAAAAATCTCAAATTTTAGCAGTATCTGAACCAGCGCAATTGTCGTACCAATACTAACAAGTTAGCCACGTGACAAAACGAGGTGTCCATGTTGTTGAAGGTTCTTTCCTTCAAACACGATGGGATGGTGTGGAAACTTTAGGTAATGGTCACGATTCAATGTCCCTGCAGTGCCCCTTTCCTGTCCTACGCAAACCTTAACCTGGAAGTAGATATCCGCGCAATCATCCAGGTAAGTCTTCGTTCCTACCTAAGCTGTCGTAGGTCGCTAGAATTGCCGAAGCTTACTCAGTAATAGTATGGGTCCGCGATTGATCATGGCGATTTTCATGTTTGTTGTCAGGTCATAAAGCGCTTTGACTTGGCGATCTCTGAGTCGGGGAGATTTGAAAATTTAAGGGACGAATTGTTCCGTAGTTATCAACTTCTGCTTACTTGCCATACCCGTGACCTACCTCGTAGGTAAGGTAGTAGAATAGATGATGCCCTACGGTGTCATTGTTAAGACACGCCAGTTCTTTGCGGAAGTTGGGGAAGGAGGACAGTTGGTTAGTAGTAGTCATTGCACTGGATTGATTGCCCCACGTAAGGGAAGAGTGAAAAAAAGAGATATCCACCCATCCGCTACGGTGGAAGAGACAGCAATTCTCGGGCGAAGAGAGTACGAAGAAGTGAAGATGCTAGTATTATGACTGGGATTGAAGGGAAATATTTTACAAAATCCCTAGACGATCTTAACATAATGACGACCAATGATGAGGGATTAATAAAGATGAGATTCCTTGCGAAAAAAATGAAGTAAGAGGGATCCAATAATAGACCTTGTTCGCCTCGAAAACTTACGTACTGTGTACTAGATGGAATTGAGCAACGAAAAGTGAAAGCAGCCAATCACAGACCAGCGATAACGTAGGACGCTAGTAGCGGCGCCAATTGCATCTTGCGTCGCACCAACCCCGCAATCGACCTCGATACCTTTCAAGATGTAAAGATTTGGGGTTAGTTACGCTTCGTAAGCTAAAAGACAGGTAGCATGGTTGGATAAAAGTATTCTTCTAGTTGTTGATGACCATTTTATACCTCGAATGTAACTCGATGACATGCTTCATGAACGGAAAGTTGGGAAAATCTATTTGTCAAGCTTTGATGGGGCCCCAACCTCCAAGCCTACATGCCACCGTACTTAGATATAGGTACCCAAGGTTAAGTTGAGGCTAGGCAAGTCCCGGAAACTTAAGTCAAAAGTTCGGGATGTACGAGCTATTGATGTTGTAATTGTAAGCCGAAACTATAACATTGGCAGCTGCGTCGGATCAATGATGGATATTGCATCTCAACGTTACTGTGGCTGATGTGGTAATAGCCACCTCCTCAGTTAAGAAGGGAGAAGACGCCATATAAAAATAGGGAAAACAAACCTAAAAAGCAACGTGGCATAGAAACATGTAGCCCTTGGTTTACCTTTATAATATGTAATTACCCCTGACCTACATATCCTTCCCATCTCATATGTAAAACTTATACCTAGGTACGTATCAAAATTGATGGGGCATACTATTGAACATGCCGCACTCCAAATATTTCCCGTTCGCTGCAGGTAATAAGCTGCTATACTAGCTACTTAACAAGCGGTGACAGGTAGGCATGTAATACAAGTGAGACAGTTGAAAAGCAAACCATAATTGACAACCTATAGTTTTTACCGTATGTAATTAATGAATTAATGACTCAAGCCTTCAGGGTCCGAATCGCGGGCCTTGGGCCGTTAGGATTTCATACCCCCACACACACTGGCCATTTTGCTTCTTCGTCCTTGTTCGTCTTAATGGAAAGCTAGTGTAGCTCGGGCGACAAGCGGCAATTCGGGGTTAACCGAGCTAGAACATTATCTCCTCATCGAGTCAGTTTTCTCATTTGCCTCTAGATGCCCCGAGCTAAAGTTTGATATTATACGCATATGATATTTACCTAAGTAGGTTGAGAGGGTTTGAGATGTATTGAGCATTGCATGCGAGGAGAGGTTGACGGTGCAAGGTGGATGTAACATAAAGGGTCATCTTGCAGATGGACAACTGAAATTTCGTGGGTTGCTAGGTGAGGAGACAAGTGATCGTTGGAAACAAACGTGAGTGGTCAATTGGATGTCTTAGATTTCGAATAAATTTTGTTGTGATCGACCTCACTGCGTGTCTAATATCATATGCGGAAAGCCTACTACGCATACATACCATGTACGGTGGCATACAGTAGTCCGTTACCTTTCCGGCACTAAGATCAACACCAGCAGATGCCATATTCTTAATTATACGTAATAATCGTGGGTGGTTAGAAACTACCCGTCACTCCTTTCTTTGAGAAATATCTTTTGTATGATGGTGATGGTGAAGCCGAACCGCGAACCCCTGACTTGGAGGTCGGGACCGCTCGAGGCGTGGTGGCGCAAGCGAGGATTCGTTCGGGACTGTCTTTGGATACCTACTCGGGGTTCCACGACTTAGGACCCGATCTTCCAGGCACAGCAAGCGCTAGTAAAACCGGATAGTCATAACGGTTGAGAAGTGGCGTCGGCTGGGTGTCGGTTGTGTGTCGGCCTCAGTTCTAGAAGGAATATTTTCACATAAAATCCATCCAATGTGATAACAGACAAAAATCTGACCACGAGCACTCGCCTTGGGCACTAGAAAGTTAACCTTCTAGGGCTTAGCCTAGGCAGCTGCTGGGTACATGGACGATAAGGATAAGTGATGGTGTGTGGTGGTGTGTGGGCTGAAAACACCCCACCAAACCCCACTAAGACAAGGGTGGCTAAAACGTAACTGATCACTGGACAACCATTTGAGCGCAAGCGCAAGCGCATCCCCGTGTCGCCGTAAAAGAGTGAAAGAACGTCCGTTGAATCCATTGTCCATTCAGGTCGTTAAACACCTGGGAATTAAAGCAATAGGACGGTGGGGCAAATCTTGGAACTTAGCCCCAACTTACACCAAGAAACACCCCTGCATCACCTAGGTAACTCACCCTTACCACCCAGCACCCCAAGCAGCCCAAAGCTACACTAGAACTTTAGGGACACAAATATCAGGGCGCCTTATCTTCTAACGCCCGTATTGTACCTGCTGTACATACTTGCAGTGCTAGAAGTAGGTGACTACCTAGTACCTGCTTGTTATCAACTAGAAGCTCTCCGGTCCACGGCTATTCCACATAAAAGCCGCAGCGTCCCCCCGCAATCAATTTTTCACTTCCCAATCTCTCCCTATCACAATTCTACTCTTACCTCCCCGTCTTCTTCCTCCTTGAACAAGTTCTTCTATAATAACTCCTTTCGTTTCGAACTTGTTGGAGTATTTTACGATTTACGAGTCTGCATCCTAAGAAAAATACACCTAGATCAAGATTAATCTTCCAATACCGCAAACATGGTGAGCCTCATCCTGCGCAATCACCCCACCAGCCTGGCTCTGCCAGCCAATCAACCCCTCACCTTACGAGAAGATTTGCTAACAGAATCTCTTCCAGGCCGAAAGCAAGTTCGTCTCGTACACTGAGAACGTGAGCACGCGATCACCCCCAAGCACATGGACACGGCGCATCAATGGCAGCGGTGCGACTGTTCACTCGAAGAACAATGGTGCTGACTCATTTAATCACAGCTCATGAAATACATGAAGCTCGACCAGAAGGGAAACGCCATGGCGGAGTACATCTGGATCGATGCTCACGGTCATGTTCGTTCCAAGAGCAAGGTACGTAATTTGCCTCACCAGCTTATCTTCGTCGAATCGCCTTCGTTCCTGTTACATGATCCCTCATGTCACGACCCATCGCTTGCTCGGGAATTGCCTGAAGCCTGCATACGAAGACCCTGAATTGATCAGACCGCCCACGGCATTCCATTCGTGGGTTCCTGTCAGCTCGCAAAGGGATTTTCTAGAGGCCAGCAGATCCCTGTTTTGATCTTGTCTGGTTCGCATTCGATCGATAATAGAACCGGCTTAGTCCGACCTCGCCCACTTGGCACATTCAACAGTTTACTCCAAATCACCGAGAAAAACCTTGACCCCACAGTACCACATAATCGTCCTTTGTCAACAGCGCCTTGCCAGTACCCGACTAGCTATGGCGCAGGGGACTATGTGGGCAGGCCGAAGTCATTACTCGTATCAAGCGCCTAGTGGCGATCAATGCCCATTAATCGGTTTTGCAGTACCGGCTTTTTTGTGTCCCAAAATAGAATCGCAATTACGTTCGATTTTCTTTTACGAATTGCGGATAATTGCTAACCCTGACTGCGCGTCTCTAGACCATTACCAAGATCCCCGCGGATGGTAACTTCAAGCCTGAGGATCTTCCCGTCTGGAACTTCGACGGTTCCTCCACCGACCAGGCCCCGGGTGACAACAGCGATGTCTACCTACGACCCGTCGCCGTTTATCCCGACCCTATGCGAGGCGTTCCCAACATCTTGGTCCTTGCGGAGTGTTGGAACGCCGATGGCACTCCCAACAAGTTCAACCACCGTCACGAATGCGCCAAGCTGATGGAGGCGCACGCCGAGCACGTGCCGTGGTTCGGCCTCGAGCAGGAATACACTCTTTTCGACATGGAAGACCGCCCCTACGGCTGGCCCAAGAACGGGTACCCTGCTCCTCAGGGCCCTTACTACTGCGGTGTCGGTGCCGGCCGAGTTATGTGCCGTGACATCGTTGATGCTCACTACAAGGCTTGCTTGTATGCTGGTATCAAGATCTCTGGAACCAATGCCGAGGTCATGCCCGCCCAGTGGGAGTTCCAGGTTGGTCCCTGCGAGGGAATTGAGATGGGTGACCAGCTCTGGATGGCTCGTTTCCTCCTCCACCGCGTCGCTGAAGAATTCGGCGCCAAGATCTCCGTCCAGCCTAAGCCCATCCCCGGTGACTGGAACGGTGCTGGTCTTCACAGCAACTTCTCCACCAAGGAGATGCGTGTCGAGGGCGGAATGAAGGTACGATCAAACCAGCCCCGTATGAGTGTGACTTTATTTACTAATGCGCAAATAGCACATCGAAGCGGCGATCAAGAAGCTAGAGGCCCGACACAAGGAACACATTGCCGTGTACGGTGAGGGCAACGACCTGCGTCTGACGGGACGACACGAGACTGGTGCCATCGACCAGTTCAGCTTCGGTATCGCGAACCGAGGCGCCTCCATCCGTATCCCCCGAGAATGCGCCGCGAAGGGCTACGGTTACTTCGAGGACCGACGACCGGCCTCGAACGCAGACCCTTACCAAATCACGGGCATAATTATGGAGTCAATTTTCGGCGCAGTTAACTAAACAGGAGGATACCCCATTGGTCGTAATGAATTGCTTTTATGCGGAGCCTTTGACATAGATCAGAAGTCTCTGAAGACATGAAATGACATGAATACTTTTTCGAACACCTGAATCTATCTGTCCACGCGACGTGATATGTTTAGTCTACCTAGTCTACCATCCATTTCTCCATTGCATACCCCTATGATTATTTACAATCAAACAGACGGTTGAAAGTTAGACCCGGAATGAAAAAAGATCTTGTTAATATGTATAAGGGCTTAATCGAGGCCCGATTACGAGAGCACTACTTTAAAACGTAGATGGCACGATCTGTATCATGATCGTGAAGTGCGTGATTGATGCACATTTGTCGAAAATAGCCTCGATTTGAATGATACCCGGTCGATTGGCCGCGGCTCGGGGCTTCCAGCCAATAGAATAGCACGGCTACGGTATCCTATTGCCTATTTCGTCCTCCCGCTTGTACCCTTTGCCGCGGGCACCCGATAAAGTTACAAGGAGGGCTCAAGCTGACGTCACACAGATCTATGCTTCCACACTAAAGTGGGTATTTGGTTACGGGAGAAGGAAAGACTTGTAAAATATGTATGTACTACATGGAGGCGATCAGAGACATTGATCTCTTTAATGTGACAAATGTTAAGTTATCAAATCAATGTTCCAATTAATAATGCTAATAATTTTTAGAGAGCAAGTTGAGTACTTTCACAGGTTTGTCATAGGCCCCAAAGCGATTATGTGGAGAGCATGGTAACGGACCACGCCACGGTCTACCCATCCAGCCATCTGCTTCCGAAAATGGTACTGTCAGATACAATTTCATAATTTTTGTGTTATCAGGTGGTCCGTGTGTTTTGATGCCTTGATGCCTTCAAATCTCTGGTTTTCACGTGATCTCCTTTAAGACACAATATGAAGACTATTGAAGATTTTGCAGTTAATCTTAGCCAGAATCTCCTAGATTAAGAAGATAGAATTTTCTTTACACAATTAATTAAATTATCAAGTCTCACGTTATTTTAACAACTACCAGGATTAATAGTACGTGAGGTATGATAGCTAATTCTATGATATAATATGAAATGGCATTGTCAACTAGTACTTAGGTAAATACCTACTGATTCTCCCCTTATGATCAAAAAGTTTCTCCGTGTAATTTTGCTCCCAAGAAACCTTGAGTTTAGACTAGCATCATACATCCCGCTGTCGTAAATAACATAGATGTGCATGCAACAAGATAACAAGGTGCTTGATGGGAGATCATAGGAGGTAGGTACCTATGTAGGAAGTCTATGTTAGATCCGTAATCGAACAATGTAAGAGGTTTTCGAAGTTGCAATATGAAGCAGAAGCTGACATGGACCACCATAGACTCACGCTTAAGTGGTTTCATACTGAATCATATTCGCATTTTCTTATTTGGCAGATGCTGAAACGGCGGCTAGGCTAATCTTCATCACCACCACACTGGTGTTCCGAGAAACCGCCAGGATTGCTAGACCCGAGACGATGACGGTTAATTTAACGATACATATCGGGGCGTGGTAGTGACTTGAGAGACGTCTAAAGTACCTCTAATGATGCAGGAGAACACTCTACATTCTCCTACTTTTGTACCACTGGAGGATACAGAAGCCATCTTGGAACTCCCAACTCCCAGTGTTGGTATGGGGCCCCACAAAGTTCGCCAGCACAGTGCCTACCCATGCGCCCATTCATTTAGAAAAGAAACAACCAATCATAATATTGAATTAGACTCAGTAATATGAGGAGCTTTTCTAAGTTCTAGGAATAGCTACCTAGACCATCCACGTTGTACAACTTAACAGAGAGATTACTATTTATTGACTGTTAGGTATTGCCAGGCTTCGGCACTGATGGTGCACCTAAGCATAGGTATAAACTTGGAGGTAGGTTTGAGCAAAGTATCTTTGACATATAGGCCTTTAAAGAGTCTTAAATAGCTTTGTTTCGGAAGCCCTCAACCTAAGTTGGCTGACGCTGGCTATGGCACACCATATAATACAAAGAAGATTCGAATTAAATGTTAACAGACACAACTGAAACCGGTTGTCTCCATTGTACTCGTAGCATTTGCCTTAGGTGCCGAGCGGAGCTTACATCAACAAAGCTAACGCTTTCTTATAGTATCATAATTTGTTGCATGGCCTGGGTGCTCTATGATAGCCCTAATTTCTGCTCAAATTTATTACGCTCTTTTCATGAATTCTAACTTTTTTCGACGCTATGAGTGGTTCGGGGTCTCCAGTCGAATGGTCACATTTGGCAAGAATACACAGATTCTATTTCAAGAAGCATCCAAAATTGAAGTATAACGCCGTGGAAAGAATAGATACTCGTGGGTATTATATTTCTCTTTGGTCTGATGATAGATTCTAGTAGAATTTTCAATAAGGATTCTCTCTATGAATATCTCCAGTTACGATACTGATAAGGCTAAACTAAGATGGCGGTCGCCTTAACTTCGCTGAGCATGACCGGGATGGTGAAGCGGTGAGGAAGTTGACCATAAAGTACGCAAGCAGTCAGGAAGGACTCAATCAGTTACAAAACGAAATACTATGCCTCAATCATCTCCAGGGAGCTGAGCATATCGTACGAACAATTGGGCTAGCCCAAGTCAAAGTCAACGTATCAGGCACCGGGCCTGATAGAGAGTACCCTATTATTGCGCACGAATACCTTCCATTCGGTTCGTTGGCTCAATTACGAGAGAGGGCTGCCAATGCAGGTCGTCTCATCCCAAATAGAGTGCTCTGGCGAGTTTTTCTTTGCTGTAAGTCCCGTACATATCTCACCCCTTCCTACCATAATACCCTTGGCAACAAAACTGATACGTCTTGTTTCTGATGGTTAGTGTCACGTCAGTTACTTGCATTATTATTCCCCCAAAGTGCTAAGTCGGATGCTTCAGTTTGGCGTGAAAACATAGGCCCAGAATTCGGACATCCGGGCACGATTGGTGTAATAGAGCACAACAATTTCGAAGATGGACGGAACCATAAATTCAGGGACTACAGCCGTGAAAGCGAGGAACACGCAATGGTTCCAGCTGTTGTGGTAAGATGGATCCGTCAACTACCTATCCTATATACCTCTATAGAGAACACTGCCCGCGACCAAATACTTACTTACACTTATATACGCAGTCAACCGATTTTAGCCGTGGAAGACTAAGGACCGACGTTCAGGATACGTGGGTAAACCATATACGGTCCATAGGATATGTTAGTAATTCGTATAACTATATAATGTTATGCATAGTTGTTCGCTGACAAGTTCGCAGTTGATGGCGTCGCTCACATTAAACGTTGTTCCAGAAGAAAATCTAAGATACGACTCATCATTACAATTGATAACGAATGAGCAAGCGCAAAAGTTATTTCCCGAACTGGCAATCCCCCCGCAAGAAATAATGACCGATGTTCCCAATATATTGATGGTATCAACTGGCATCGATAATCAATTAAAGGAGCTTATAGCACGATGTTTAGCTGTTGATATCGCAGATATGCCGACTTGGCGAAACTTAGTACTTCTGTGCGAGGATGGCTTTAAATTCCGGAACCCTAGCGACATTGAAGATATGCCGCATGATAGGGAGGAGGAGTTAAGGGAAGGGGGGGATGCAGCGTTTGTACGAGAATTTATTCTAGAAGCGGATGTAAACACTAGACATAGCATGCTAGGAGAGGAGAATCGCTTCGGAGAATGGAGTTGATCTTGGAATGGACCATCTCGAAGACAAAGTGCTTACTTTGGAAGATACCTACCTACCTACCTAAGTACTTATATATATTATGGAATAAGAATACCTATTCTTCCTGAACACACCGGAGCTGCCACCGCCTAACATCTCCGAAATTGTTTCAATATGGCTCGAGTAATCTTACAAACTAACTATTCGAGACTATTCTTAAAAGCACAAACATTTTTGTTTTGCCCAAAAACGCATATCATTAAGTTCGGTTACTCGACCCCCTGAATATATATCCTGAGGACCTACAAGCCGGCGTGCCAAAACACATACTAAAGTAACATTCGTATAAGCTACCTACATATGTAGATAAACCTAGATAATACCCCTAAGTCTTAAGACCTCGAGAAAGGATGAGCCTCAGTATTGAACACGTATTCGTTTAGGCTGATTATATCAGGAGGACTGAAGAGCAAGTAAAAATACTTCAGAGTCTCTGCAAGCCAGAAGCTCTAGCAGCTGCGTCAGTAGTGGTTTCATTGATGCTCAAGATGTTAACGCTACATACCTCCATATAATCAGATTGCGGCAGTGGTTTACTAGCCCGGGTGACATCCTCCACCGCCGCGTGCGTTCCTAGCTCGGTCTTGGTGCCGTTTTCTATTGCTGTAAACATCTCCCAGCCCAGATCCTGCCATTTAGGACTTCCAGTCACGCGATACATGATGAATACACTTTCTATAGTCTCCGGCCTAAGAATGTAACGAGGGTCTTTGGCAGTGGTGAATCCTAAAGGTAGGTGCTCCTTGTCTATAGTGAAGGTTAGCAGACAAACATATTAGGGGCAGCGAGTTGTCACGAATTGACTTACACTCAGGCCGCTTCCTCTTTTCCTCGTCGAAATGTTGCGTATCCCACTTGCAGCCGTCCATGGTTTTGCAAGCAACCATATTAACCCTCTCAGGCATCATTCCATTAGGGAAGGATTGATAACCATAGACGCAACCTAGCGTCAGCTTGCTACCAATATCGACATACTCTCCTCTATTGAATAACTTCCCGCCTAGAGCATATACTCCCCCAAGAAAGCATGCTAGATGTTCTGTTTCTTCATCGAGGTAGACGCGTCCGTTTTCATCGACCCATCCACTACTCGGCATAAGTATGTCTTCACCACCAGGAATCATAGGCCTAAATAGTAGCTTCTTAGCAGCTTCCATGAATCCTATGCTCATAACCTCGTATTTAAGTTCGTGGCCGCCCAGAAGTGCGTACGTCTTTGGTAGGTATTCATATAGCTGTTATGTCTTAGTATATAGGTTCTGGAGGAGACGAGAGAGCAAGCCGGAGAAGAAGGTAAGGCCATAGGGGTAGGGACGTACTGCGGCGTGTTAGCTCTTGCAAGATAAAACCTTGTGATTCCGCTCAGACACTTCTCACATACCGCTATCTGCGCAACCGGCAAGAGTGAATTGGTTTCCTGAGATTACATCTTGCCGACTCATTGATACCATCATGGGCCAGAGTCCTGGGAGCTGTGTCTTGTTTTGTCCCTCGTAAAAGACGTCCATCACATGTGAAATGGCGTCGTAGTATTTAGGATCGCCTGTGAGTTGTGATAACCGCGTAAATTCAAGCGATATCGTTCCAGGCGAAGCAGAAACGACCGACCCTTCCACGACCAGGCCCTCTCCTCTTTTAGCTGCATCGAAGTCTATGAAGTCAACAGGCATGCGATTCTCCGTGTTGAAAGCACCATACAGCAGGTTTCCAAGTTCAACAGCTTTGGTAAGCAATACCGGTCGCTTACTGAGATCATAAGCAGCCATCAAGCCGCCCAAGTACCGAATATTCGTTTCGAAGGTATTAACTCTCCCGGAAGTGGATTTTCCGAAATCTATCCCAGCAACTGCATCGACGGCCTCGTCAAACTCTTCTCTAAGACCCATAATCCAGAGAGAATCGAGCGAATCGACCAGCGTAGCAGCCCATCCACTAAACTGATCCTGATAGCCCATGGATAGGGGCTTTAAGGCATCTTTCATCCAAGCATATTTCCTATACGCCCCCCAATCGTTTGTGAAGGTATCTTTAACTTTCCGCCGTCTTCTCTCCCGAAGGTTCATGGCTAGGGACCCTTCCGACGAGAATTCGGCTTGGATGGCTGGGAGGGTGTGAGAAGGATTACCCATAGGGATTACCGTCATTGAACCGGGTGGGTAGCGGAAGGATACACGACTCCAGTCAAAGCTACTACCTTGAACGTGTCGTGAAGATGTTACTTCGCTGTTCATGTGCCGTTGGAGACTGACAAATTCTGACTTAGATGCGCCATGGAGAAAAGTTGTAAGCGACCACCATATTACTAGTACTCCAGCCGTCAAGATCAATTTATCGCGATTTTTGCGTATCAAATGGCCCATTATTCAAGTCTCGATGAATAAAAAAGTTAAATGTCTTATAATACAAGAAAAACATGAACCAAATTGAGGAAAACAGTGATAAATTGAACAGCGTTGAGCAGGAAGAAATCATCGTACGGCTTGTAGCCTTCAAGTAATCAAACCGACACTCTAATATTAGTATACCTATTAACCGTACCTGACGTTCCATTCGATCGACTAACATTGTGTCAGATGTATCAACCACGGACCTTTTTAGCGCCCATACTCGAGGATCAGAACCAACATCACCAACGTACGAATCAAAGAAAAATATCGTAGCCAATCAGAAGAACCGGGCCATACCAGGGTCAACGTCGTGATTATACGCATCGGGCTGCCAAGAACCCCCTGAACCAAGCACGTCGGATCGAAAGATGTCCATTGAAACTAACGCGCCTGCCGACATATCGGTCCGAGTCAGAGAGGTCTGTAGATAGGTATCGGGAGATCCGTAATACAGCTAGGTAGGCTCAGAAAGCAAGCGCCACAATGGAGAGAGGAACGCGCCGCGTCAACTTCTTTTTCGATATTTACTACTATATCCTATACAATCATTTTCTGTTCGAATACTTAGGTATCCTACAAGAATCGTCCCCAAGACTGATTTGGATCATTCTCACTCGTCGAGATGCTCGAGTCCAGGAGACACCGATGTATGAGTACCTTATCATTATTAATTGCTTTATTTATTGTCCTAGCTTTGGCATCAGATACCTGTGCTCCAAACCCAATTGCTGTTAGAATCGGAAATGTCACGCTTGCAAACCACCAAGTAGCGAGAGGTGCAGAGATCCACATCGGGGATCCTCCGCAACCATTCGCATTCTTACCTCAATGGTACGTGTATATAGGTAACGACCGAGTATCACATGGCATCACAAGCGCTGAAACTTCTAACTATAGGCCATACAACACATCTTTTGTATATGGGATAGATGGGCATTGTGTGTTCAAACGTGAGGAACCTACGAACGACGGCTGTGATACTTTAAGAGGAGGGGCCTACGACGCCTTTGCATCAAAAACACGCCAGGTGGCATATCCAGAAGAGTTCCCGAAGGAGAATGCCCCATTTCCGGAGACGACTCTAGTGGCCGACGGAATGAAGCTGAACGAAAACATGAGCTTGGCTGCATTCCCTCTTGGGGTTGCCCTGAACGATTGGGGTGCCGAAGGATATCACCTGATGGCCTGCCTTGGATTAGGGACCAACTCAACCTTTCTTAATACTCTTCGAGAGTCTGGAAAGATTGCTTCACGCACTTGGAGCTTTTTCTGGGGCCGCAGTAGCGGACCTTCCGCTTCACAGACTGACGGGTCATTGGTCCTTGGAGGTTACGATCGAGCCAAGGTCTCTTCAGGGGAGAGATATGTAGAAATGCTACAGGACTCAACATCCCCCTGCTCTACTCAGATGATTGTCACCATAACAGATATGGTTCTTAACTTTCCGAACGGAACCGATGTTAGCATATTCCCAGAGTCGCTATCTACAGCATTAACCGCGTGCATCGTGCCTGACTACCCAGTCCTAATGACACTTCCATCAGATCCCTTCATGGACAACTTCTTTCAGCTAACTGATGCCGCCCAAAATCATGAAAGATCATTTGGAATCAATTATTATTCATTCCAGTACTCCGCAGGTGAAAAACGGTATGCTATGATGTCTTGTCCTATTCCTTAGAAACAAGCAGCTTCTAATCGGATGCTTACTTGCCTAGGTACGATGGTGACATGACCATTAAATTTCAATCAGGGCTCGCCGTGAGAGTAGCGAACGATCAACTGGTCGTCCCCGACGTGGACATCAACCCGAGCACCGGGGAGCTTATCGCCAACTATACGAATCCTGATCTCGTCATCAACGGCTTACAAAATATTAGTGCGAACGACATGCCACAGCTCGGCCGCCAGTTCTTGTCTGCTGCCTACGTCATGGTAAACCAAGACACCAGGCAGTTCAGTTTGTGGGCAGCCAATCCGGTCTCGGGCGAAGACCTCGTGGCGGTAGATGTTAACAATGTTGATATCACTACGATTTGCGAATCTAACGCTTCGACTATCATTAGTTCCAGTTCGCCAACGCCAACGCCAAGTCCAGAAAAAACATCGCATTCTTCACCTGGGAAAATCGCTGGCGCAGTTGTAGGTAGTATTGGTGGCTTGGCAATATTAGGTGTGATAGCTTTTTGGATCATCAAAAAGAGAGAAGCATCGTCTGAGGTCTCCGAACAGAATGAGGTCATACAACCCTACGTCGAAAACGAACGCTCTCAACCGTTCTCAGCAGAATCAAAGTCAGAGCTTCCAGATAACTCATTCCTAGTCCCCGTCGAATTGGAACATCCGACACATCGAAGCCTGCCTCCTTATGAATTAGGAGACTGATATTCGCCCTCAAAAACAGAAAGTCATGATATTAATAATAATTAGCTATAATAGAGATATATATAACAAGCAGGATTATTAGATAATGTGATATAATTGTCGTTGGCGAATGCCTGAGTAGTTAGGTAGAGAAAGTGGTTGAATGGGAACCTTGGTATTTAAGGGGTTAAGGGGTTGGATTAAGATCAGTGTAACTCTAACTCCAACCTCGAGCCTAATGAATATATAACTGAAGGAAATTCTTTACTGCCCAGGTAAGTTGGCATTATTCTTGCCACATTCTCTCATAGTTTTATTAGGGGCTTTAGAGTTCGGCTTATGTGAAAATTTTGGAGACATATTTGGTGGTCGTCTCAATTAGATAGACAGGTACCTAGATCTAAAGCTTTTCCTCAGGTATGTATAGTGTATTCCATAAGCGAAGGCAGTTCGGAAGCCAGCAACGATTAGACATAGTGATATGGTCTAGCCACTACGAGTTTGGGCCATAAGATGAATTGTTACATAGGTAAGAAGCTGATAAGTCATATCTTCCTGGTACCAGTTATTCTTTGCCGAAGGCTTCAAACTATTATCTTTCCCTCACTTATGTATCGTCATCCCCATCCGACTAGCCGTTTTGCCGAAGACTTCAGTTTAAAGGTTTGATTAGATGCCCCTGAGCACCCAAGCCTTCGAATATCCTGCCACATAGGTACGTTAGTTATCTAGGTAGGTAAGTACCTAGGCGGGCAATCCCTTTCCACGTGTAATAGGCTTTTTATATTTGTAAGGGATTATAGATCTGATTGAGGCTCTCGATTTAATTAACTCAGGGGCTGATAACGTGGTGGAGTGACGAGCTCCTGCATAGTGTAGATTGACAGGAATTACAAATAGTCTTCGATCTTTAAACCTAGACGTCTGCCTGAAATGTGACTAGCCCAACGAGAATACAACCCAGTAAGGCTTCAACATGATATTAAAGCAGAGCGAGCCTTGAATAGAATCCTAGGAACAAAGGTCGCTCACCTCCTGACCGAGGAAGTTTTATTTTAGGAATTTCTGTGGAGAAGAGTCTATCGTATGTAGGCTTTGATGCATTTCTCTCTGTTCGTGAACGTACTTTGAGTACCTATCTATGTTAGCCAGGAGGAGGCGACGGCACTGTTTTCTTTGGTATACAATTATGAATCAAACGCCCCCCAAATCAAATGCTTGCCCTGGTCATTGATACGGCCCTTTTAATCCAATCGCAATCTGATGATCCAGTCATATTCATCCGGGCAAGCGGCTGACAGCTGCAGGGTCAAGAATACATATCGAATTGAAGACATCCCTCGCAGCCTACTCTCTTGATTAGTCGATTCGCAGTTCCGCGAGTATGCGCGATGATGCGAAGTACTATAAGCGCCCACGGCACTTATGCTCGCCAACGTGCAGACGAAATTGATGAGCAGGAAACGCCAAGGGACTTTTGCCGGGGACTAAACAGCCTTGCAGTACTTTCCCGCACTGATGCGGAAAAGGCGGAGGATACAGTCCACGCAGCAATTAAACCGGTAAAATACTCCTAGCAATAAGAATAGGAGGTGACTGGCCTGCAGGGCAGACCTAAACAACTTCACCCCCTTTTCGGGGTTAGCCTTTCCACTCCCGCGGTAAACAATATGTACACAACATACTTTATCTATTGATGCTGGGCGGCAGTTCGTTACCATGCACGGAATTCCAAATCATCGCCGGGCTATATTCGTACTTATAGGGGTCGTGTGGACGCTGAGGCTGCGTCCCTTGCCTTACTTTCTTCCGCACATCTCTACCGCCAAGATCAATCCGCCGTCGAGATGAAGTCGCTCTCAGTCGTTCTCGCGCTCGTCGCGCAAGCCCAAGCCGGCCTTCGATTTGGTTGCTCAACCTTGACCATCCAGCGTCTGGACCCCGTCGTCGAGTCGGGTAAGTCCCCTTCCGCGCACCTACACCACATCGTCGGCGGCAATGCCTTCAACGCCAGCATGACCGGCGATGTTGGTGAGAGGGGTACCTGCACCACCTGCGAGATGTCGGAGGACTTCTCCAACTACTGGACGGCCGTGCTGTACTTCAAGCACCCGACCAACGGCTCCTACCACCGCGTCCCTGTAAAAGCCAACGCCGCCCTCGCGCCCGGAACCACGGGCGGAATGACTATCTACTATACCCAGCACGATTTCACCACGGATGACCTGCAGAACCAACCCATCACGGCTTTCCCTCCGGGATTCCGTATGACCGTGGGCAGCCCGACCACGGAGACTTTGGACCAGGCCAAGGGCCACATTGGTCTACGCTACAACTGCCTGCAGAGCCTGATCAACCGAGGACCGGAGATGCCCGACTTCCCCACCACGCCTTGCCCTGCCGGTATCTTCACAGTCCACCACTTCCCCGCGTTAGTAACCCGTTTACTTAACTTTAGACACGAATTTGAATGTGCTGACGATGCTTAGATGCTGGGATGGCAAGAACCTCGACAGCCCCGACCACCAGTCGCACATGTACAACACCATCAAGTACGATGGCTTCACGAACGCTCCCCCGTGCCCGGCTTCCCACCCTGTTCGCATGCCCCAGGTCACTTACGAGACCGTCTGGGACACGACCAAGTTCAACAGCATGTGGCCCTCAGGGACGCCCAACCCGTTCGTGTGGTCATTCGAGGGCAGCAGCGGCTACGGTACCCACGCCGACTACATGTTCGGCTGGAAGGGCGACTCGCTCCAGCGCGCCATGAACAAGTCCGAGTGCTTCTACGACGGCTGCGGCTCCATCACCAAGCAGGCCATGTCGACCGCCAACCAGTGCACCGTCAAGGATTTCATTGGCGAGGAGACCGATGGATGTATGTTTTAACCACCCCTAAGCCCCAGTTGTGATCTTAACACTAACTTGTTGTAGGGCTTGACCATCTTCCGGGCATGGAGATGTAGAGTAGATTAGAGGAGTAAAGGTTCCGGAGAGGGGAATGTGACGAATCCTCTTCGTGACAGAATCTGCAAGACTGTTCATTGATGTTAAGGGGGTGCTATGTAGTGGTTAGCTTGACCCATAGCTCGCAACTATCTAGACACAGCAATTTCTATCAGATTACCAGACACCTATTACAAACCGTAGGACTCGTGTGCGGGATGTGATCATGTTCTCACACCCCCAATTGTGAATAGGATAGATATTCTTAGAACATATAGAAAGTTATGATGCATTGGGTACTCTAGCGGATAAAAGATGAAAATCGGAATATAGGCGTCGAGTCCTTTGGACATCGGTGAAACGCCGCCGGTGTTGAAGTTCTAAGTGTAGTATTAAATCATGCAACAAGAGTTTCATAACCTCATACTACCTATGTACCTATGGGGAAATGAAAGACCTGGTAAACAACGAGAACATGAGAAATGTATGATTGCATAAGCTAATCAGCAGAGGGGATATTTATATCTAAGACATACATGAATTGTCGAATGTTCAAAACTTGCTCCCAATAGGACGAATGGATGGCTAGGTACGTTGTAGATGACAGATGGTTGGATTAAGAATTCGGGGCTATGTAAGTGAGTCACGTGACAATACTCTCAAGGACAGTGCGCCATTTGAGCTAAACCGCCAAAGCCTTAAAATAAAAATTTTATTTTTTATTTTTTTTTTATAATTTTTTATTATTATTAAATTTATATATTTAAATACGTATTATTTATTTTATATATATTTAATAATAATTTTATAATAATATAATAATAAATTAATTAATAATAAATTAATAATAATTTAATAATAATTTAATAATAATTTAATTATAATTTAACGAAAATTTAATAATAATTTAATTATAATTTAATAAAAATTTAATAATAATTTAATAATAATTTAATAATAATATAATAATAATTTAATAATAATTATATAATATATTATAAAAAATTATAATATTTATATAAAATTATTTTATTAATAATTAATTTTTAATTATAAATAAAAAAAAATTTATATATATATATTATATTTTTTTAAAAGGATTAATTAAAGTTTTTTACGTAATAACGTTATTTTTTTTTAATTTTTTAATTTTATTTTATAATAAAAAATTTTTTAAATATTAAATTAAATATAATTAAATAATAAGTTTTTTTCCCGAATTTAAAAATTTAAAATAATAAAATATTATTTAATCCGAATAATAAACTTTATAAAAATTTAATTATTAAATAATATAAAAAATAATAATATATTTTTTTAATTAATATAAAATTATAATTTTTATAAAATTAATAATTATATATTAATAATAATATAAATTTTTTAATTTTATAAATATTAAAATTTTTATAATAATTTTTAAAAACGTTTAATTAATTAAAAATAAATTTTTATAAATGTTAATAAAAATTAAAAATTATTAAAAATATAATTATTAATTATAATAAAATTATAATTTTATATTAATTAAATAAATAAAAAAGTTTTATTTTTTTATAAATAAATAAAAAACTTTAAAAAATAATATTATTAATTATATTTAAAATTTTTATTTTAATAATTATTATATTATATTTTTATATTTATTTTATATATAATTATTTAAAACATTTATTAATATTTATATATATTTATTAATATATTATATTTTTAAATAAATAATAATTTAAAAATTTTTATATAATAATATTATTTAATATTTTTATTTTTTAATTCCGTTTTATAATAATATTATAATAAATTAATTTTATTATTTATAATATTATAAAATTATTTAATTTATAATTTTTATTTTTTAATAATTATTTAAT